TTGGTTCATCTACTCCATGGAATACTACTCAGCTATTAAAAAAACAAAATGCAGTTCTTTGTGGCTAAATGGGCACAACTGGAAACTATAATGCTAAGGGAAATGAGTGAATCCCAAAAGATTAGATACCACATGTTTGCCTTGATTTAACCTGTAATTTTTGTATGGTTGTTATTTTTTGAACCTGTCATTGATACTGTCTCAACCCAGATGTTTCGAAGAATGGAACTTGCATTATTTTTAACATATTGTTTACCCAATACTATGTCAATTAATTCCATAATGTTGTATATTGATACTGAGGCCTTGTTGGGGCTTTTAACTGACCGGATCTTTACTCTGTTAGACCTATCTTCAGACCATAGAAGGTCTCCCCAAGAGGCCACTGAACTTATCTGGACAATAAGACGCTGAACTTTATGCTAGGCATGTGTTTGCAAGCAATGAATCTCAACTGAACTTGAACTATGGTTATGCAACAAGGTGGAGGAATCCATGGGGGGAGGGGTATGGGAGGGGTGGGGGGAATCCCCAGCGCCTATAAAACTGTACTACATAATACAATGTAAGCAACAATAAAAAAAAAAAAAGAACAGTCTCCATTTCTCCATTGACTACGGGATAATTCTTTTTTTTTTTTTGAAAATGTTACTTATTTGAAGAGGAGAGAGTAAGAAAGAAAGAAGGAGGCAGGAGTAGGAGAGGGAGGGAGGGAGAAAGGAAAAGAGAGAGGAAGAGGGAGAAGGAAGGAGATAAGGAGACTCTTATCAGCTGGTTTAGTCCCCCACATGCCCACCATGGTTGGGATGCAACCAGGTAAAACCAAAATACACAAGCTTAACCTAGATTTCTCCCAAGGATGTAACGGACAGATGTATTTGAACCATGATCTGCTGCCTCTCATGCTGCATGTGAGCAAAAAAATCTCTAACCAGGAGTGTAGCTGAGATTTGACCCTACACAATGTATAATTTTAGTATCTGCATCAGATTCTTTAATAAGGGTATAACAGTAAAATCCAGGGTGCCATTCACTTTTAAGTTCAGGTGAATGCTGCCATCTAGAGTTTTACCATGTGTCATATGTACAGCTACATGTATGGAAATACTCTTCAGCTGTGTATAATATTTGTGATATGAGGGCTCGGCACAATAGCAGAGTGGTCCTCGCCTTGCACACACCATGATCCCATATGGGCGCTGGTTCTAATCCTGGCAGCCCCGTTTCCCATCCAGCTCCCTGCTTGTGGCCTTTGAAAGCAGTTGAGGATGGCCCAAAGCTTTGGGACCCTGCACCCATGTGGGAGACCCAGAAGAACCCCTGGCTCCTGGCTTTGGATTGGCTCAGCTCCAGCCATTGCGGCCAATTAGGGAGTGAACCACTGGACCCAAGATCTTCCTCTCTGTGTCTCCTCCTCTCTGTATATCCGCCTTTCCAATAAAATAAATTTTAAAAATTTGTGAAATGAAATCTGATTACCTCTCTAATTTCCTTCATTCTACCAGTGATCAGCTCCCTAAACAAGGCAGGTCCTTTACTATTTTCATGTCCAAAGGTGAGTTACTGTTTTTCTCTAAAACAATTTACATTTGGCAGACTCATCATCTTCCTGTAAAAGCTAGTTTAAATGTCACTACCCAGGTATCAGTGAGGTGGTATATCAAGCTAATCTTCCATCTGCAGCACCAGCATCCCATATGGGTATCAGTTCATATCCCAGCTGCTCCACTTCTGACCCAGCTTTCTCCTTGTGACCTGGGTAAACAGTTATACCTACATGGTAGACCCAGAAAGAATCTCCTGGCTCCCAACTCGGACCAGTTCAGCTCTGGCCATTGCAGACATTTGGGGGAGTGAACCAGAAGGTGAAAGACCTCTATCAGTCTCTTTCACTGTAATATTGCCTTTCAAATAACTTTTTAAGCCACTACTCAACCACATTTTTCAGCTTTTCTATTTCTTCTTTTATCACCCATGCACATTATTGCTAGAAAAGATTCTTTACTTGAAAGAGGGTTCACGGAGAGAAAGCTTCAATCTCCTGGTTCATCCTGCAAATGACCACCATGGCTGTGGCTGAGTCAGTCTGAAGCCAGGAACTAGGAACTGCTTCTCAGTTTCCTCCATTTGCATGGGAGGCCAAAAGCTTGGGTCACCTTCTGCTGCTTTTCCAAGTCCATCAACAAAGAGCTGGTTTCAACCACATTTTTCTTGACCGTGTTTCCCCTATCACCTTGTCCCTGAAAGTTAAAGTTGAAATTTTCTATTTATGTGTAATCTTCCAGTTATACTGAACTTTTCAGGGCTGTGTGTTGCTCACATAGGCTCACACGTAACAGTGTTTCATTCAGTGATGCTTGGTAAAATGTTTGTTGAATGTTTGGGGAGGAGAGGATGGTGAAGCAAGTAGTCCAGTTGGATTGACACTGCAGTGTCCCACGGATTTTCCGTTGCTATGAATAAGCCCTTTCTACCTATATATGCCTTATTTACTTATTTTATAAAATGCAGGATTTGATGAGTGATTATGGAGGTCTCTTCCATTTTAAAAAATCTGAATTGTGGAGAGAAATTTTGAATTGGTAAAGTATGGGTATCCAAAAATTTTTTCCCTCAGAGAAACATTGAGAACACCAGCAAAAACAGTAAAAACCTGCTTTCTCAGAACTCTGAAAATTATCCAGTCTTTCAACAATGTGAACATCTACTTCAGAGTTGATTCCAAGGAAAAATAGCCCTACTTAAACCTGCCCTGTTGTGGTTCCTGTCTCTCGAGCTGTGAAGTTCCCTTGGGAAACAATGATATGGCAGTTGTTGTAGTCATGAAAACTAACTACCAAGGAGCCACTGGAGAGAAAACTAGTTTGATGTGCCCCAAAATACCCCAATCCCACAAAACTGTCACTATTTGAACTCTGTCGCAGTGCCCTGAAATCTTATTCTCAGAAACTGTCTACTTGTGTGGACTCAAAGCTTACTGTGGGTAAGACATCTTACAGGCTATTTGGTGTACAAAATGAGGGACAATGTAAATTGTGGTAACCTCAGGCAGCAATACCAGTTGGTGCTAACAAGATGATACCCAAAGGAAAAAGTTGGGTAAAAAATGTCCACAGCTCCTCCCAAACTCAAACATATTCCTAGAATAATTTAGGTCATGCATATTCAAGAGCTCTGAGCATGCTCAGGAAAATAAAGCAGAGAAAGCCTGAACCATTTTGGACGCTCTTATGGTTCTATGTAAGCAGAAAAGCTAGGGAAAATATAGAATTTTGAAATACCTGCTGGAGTATGGAAAGCATGACCCAGTACACAGAGGCCAGAAGGCATGGTTAAGCCTAATTCAAGAGGTTTAAGGAAAGCTTTCTAAACTCAGCTGAACACTATGCTAATACAGAATCTTCACCAAGAGCTTGTTATAAAATTAGCCCATATAAAAATCAAAGGAAAAACACAACATTGACAAGAGCAACAACAAGACCCCAGAGTATATATCACAATTTCGACTTTCCATTTAAAAGACCAGATTTTCAACAACAAAAAATTGTACCCGCCAAACCAATGTGACATTAAAATGTCTGAAAATTTTGGCTTCACTTCATTGTGTGATCCCATAGATCCTGAAGCATGGAAGATATGAAATGTATTCATTCACTCTGGGTATCCAGACTGAGCTGTCCAGAATTTTCTCAAAAAAAAAGTTCCACATCCATATTCTCCATTATTGCAGCCACTAGCTACATGTCTCCACAGATCAAATGCAGCCAGTGTCTAAAGGAGTAAGACTCATAAGGGCTGGTGTTTTGTCTAGTTTAGATGCCCAATACTCTGTCAAAACATCACGATTTAACTCCTCTGAGCTTTGGCTTGCCTTAGGCTAGTGCAAGGTCGGGGAGTAAAAGAGTGGATGAGAAGTCTGTGTGCTTTTGTCCCTCATGCAATCATTTGTTTAAATATTCAGTGTTGATAGCAGCTACCACATTGAACATGGCGGAAAGAATCTAGAGTAACTTAGTCAACTAGTCAGAGAATAATGTGATGTTAGTGTGGGCAGCACTTGCTACACAGTTCAGAAAGCTCAATGTAAAGAGTAATGGACTTTGAGATTACAGAGATCTAGCGTAAGAAAAGAGTTTCACTTTCATCTTTATCCTTCTGTATCTGGCATGTCATCGCTACCCAGGCATTCTTGTGATCAGTAAACAGGTGAGTGTTAACAGCAAAAGAACTAAACCAACAGAGCCAAATCTTTACACAAGTTCTAAAAACATACTTTTCTAAAAATCGATTTCACAACTCATCTCAACACACCTGTACGCACTGGGAAATACGAAGAGGAAGAAAGTAAACTCCTAAAGAAAAAGCTTTTTTTTTTTTTTTTAAATTATTTTAACGGAGATGATAGAGCTCAGTGCTGCTTGCAGGGACTCCAGTCCCCTTTTCCTTACTGCTCATCCGTTATTGAGGGCTGCAACAGGCACCCACAGGAAGAACAAGACCAGGGAAAAGTGTGTCCATTCTCTTGAGCAGGTCCATTAACTCACATGTGATGGATACATGCCAATTAGTAGCTCCACTTTTCATATTCAATTAGCCTTAGTGAAATGACCCTCCATCCAGTTACCAGGCAGCCCGAGCTATACAGTTTGGGGAGCATTTCTGTCACTGATAGATAAAAGCTAACATATGGGGTTTTAATTAGTAAAGGCAGAAAAGCAGAATGAATATTGAAGGATAAATAACAATCTTTGAGAATAATTACCCCAAAATGCTCTGTTTTTCAAATTCACGAAAAGTGCCAGGGCTGAAAACCAGAGACAGAAAACATACTCCAAATCACTTTCATCCATTTTTTTTCCACTAACAAATTAAAGGAAACAAAGATTGGAAACATTAGTAAAATTATTTTTTTTTCTCTATCATCCACAATGTTTTCAATTCTTTAGGACAGTAAATAAAGGGGCACTTGCATTCATTAAAAATTTATCATAACAGACACAGAAGCAAAAAAGTTTATTTATTTGAGACATTTTACAACTATCTTAGTGTTACTGGACAATCATTTATTTAAAATAATATCCTAAATACTTACAAAAATAAATCAGGTATGCTTCTATTTTTCAAGTGTCAAAGACTTTGCCATAGAAAATAGAAAGGACCTTTTATAAACTGAACATCACATTTAAGTTACATCAAGTTTTACAACTGCACAGTATTTTTTTATGGTTTGTGCTTTACAAATTTTCTGAACTACTTCTTTGTAATGTGCAAGTTCACAATATGAATGTATGCATACAACCATAAACATTTATTTTAGATAGGAATTTTTTCAGTAAGTACACATATTAAGAACCTAACAAAGAAAGTACTGCGGCCTGAGACACAATGACATATGTGCCATTACACCAGAAGCAGGTGCGGCTGGTGAAGTTTTATCTGACATTCAAATTAGCACTCCAGTTATGAAAAATGATGACATCATAATAGGGGATACTCAGATGAACAGTTCTAGGCAAGATTATCAATGCTGAATCTCTACTAAATCAGACACCCTGATTTATAGAAAAAATAGAATAAACTTCAAATATTTCTGAATATAGTAGTTTCAGAATAAACACTGCTAGATGTACACATATTTAGAAAGGAAAGGAATATTGAAATTAAAATCATTTCCAAATTAGCATGTGGTTCTATTTTATAATCATTGGAATATTAACTCCCTTTACAAATACATAAATGCTAAATCTCTCTTCTATGGTAAATGCATTCCAGTCTCTGGTACAACACAGCTATGTGTAAATTATGCTTCATAACAAAATATTTTGAATGCTTTACCACCCACAGGGTGTCAATCTCACCACATTAACCAGATGTGGAAAAGAATCTCACTTCTGATCAGTCCTGAATTTATGTATGATTAAATCACAACACAGAACCTTAAATTACATTAGTCTTATATAAATATTTACATATTAAACATTTTCAATTCTACTTATCAACTAGAAAAAATTATAGGTAAGAAAATTTCTCTACCAAGAAAAAAATCTATCTAGCGTTATATCTTTATTTAGAAATTGAATGCATTATTTAGGAATTCCAAGTGTAATAATTGAATGTTAAGGGAAAAAACTAATTTACTGAAATTGGTGTTTTACAATAGATTCCAATAAAAGAGAGCTTGCAGAACTTATAAAACCTGAATTATAAGCAAATAGAAACACCAAATGGGCATCTTCCTTGACCAAAATATACCAAAATGCTTTTCTACTTAGAAAATTTTAAATAGCATGCTAAAATTTTTTCAAAGATGTTTTTCCATTTCACAGATAAGTAAACACTACAAGAGCATATGAAAATGTCAAACATATTAACTATTCCAATACAAAGCACTAACATCTGAGAGGTAGTCACAGAAGCAACCCTGATGAGACAAAATATCCTGACACACACTCCTGAAGCTCAGAGACCCAGATGCCATTTAAAATTCTTATATTTTCAATGGATAAAAATAAAAATAAAGCCTACTGGGCAAGAATTAAAACCTGGTATCCAAAGAAATAACACTGTAAACCCAACAATACTCAGTCTCTCAAAGAAGGCCAAGGACCAACTACAGGCCAGGGATCTACAGCTGGCCAGTCAAACCTGGTCTACCAGTTGCTTGTGTGAAAATAGTTTTATTAAAACATAGCCACACCCACTTTATTTACATATTGTGTATGGCTACTTCCACTACAGAGTGAAGTGAAGTACTTAAGCATGTTAAAGATTGAGTGGCAGGGGTTAGGTACTTAAGACAACTATCCAGTAGACCACAAACCTTAAAATATTCCCTTCTTTTCAGAAAATGGCTGCTTAAGCTCTGGTTTACAGATACTGCTGCTCAGAACGTTACAGGCGAAGTGCACTGTACAGACAGACTATGGTTGTTGTAACATTAAGGTATTCAACTCTAGAGAATACAAGATGCTAGTTAAGTTTCAATCCAATCTTTATATTAAAAATAGTATTAACATATTTAATTGTGGTTTAATATCAAAGAGTATTTCCTCACATATATAAAAAATTTATTATTGTGTCACTAAACAGGACATTGTGCAATGATAAATATACTTACAGCTGTACTGTCCAAAATAGGAGCCATCGGCCACATGTAGCTAAAGGCTGTCTGAAAAGAGGCTGGTGCTACCAAGGACCTGAATTTTTCAATTTAATTTAGATTGCCACATGCAGCTTGTGACCACAATAAAGGACAGCACAAATTAACACAACTTAACAAAATTCTTGAGTTTTGACTTTTGAAATAGACTCCCCCCCCAAATAAAAAACAATACCTTTGAAATTAGAGCTTTGGGAAGAAATTACTCCATACCACAAACTCAGAACAACACTGCTTAATCAGGAAATAATGAAACTTATTGGAAGTTGCTTCATTATTGTGCCTCTTTTTGATAAGAAGCAACTACAATGTTGTCATGCGCTTGCCTAAAAGCAAGCCTTATAATTACATTAAAAAGCATACAAACATTTCACACAACGTGTTTGTTTTTATCTTGCTTTCTACTAGAAAGTCAATTCTAGGGCAGGTGGTTAGCAAAGCAGTTAAGACAATAAGATCTGTGTCCCACCCAAACCGGAGTGCTTTGATTTGAATCCCAACTTTACTTCTTGTTCCAATTTCCTTTAAAAATGCACGCCCTGGGAAGCAGAAGTGATGACTCCAGTGACTGGGCTGTGCTATGCAAGTGTGGGCGATCTGGACATTTCATTCTTGGCACAGCTATCAGCTTCTGCTCGGTCCAGGCCCGGCCATTACAGGCAGGTGGGGGAGGGAGGGGGGAGAGCAGGGGATGAGAGTTCTTCCTTTTTGTCTTCCTGTCTCTGCCTTTCCAATAAATAAAGTCACTTCTTACAAATATTTACCTCCCAACCTTAATGTTTCAACAATGCTGCCAAGAGGCCTTTATCATATGGGAACTAGGACATCTTCAGCATCTGCAACACTCTGAATTAGTTACTTCTACTACAGGAAAGCCATTCTAATGGTTAATCTTCTAAACATTTTATCATCCATGGCATGGGAAAATAGTCAACGACAAAGCTCAAGACAGGAACTAAAAACTTGTAGACATAAACTCAACCACTGTTATATAATTCTCCATGTGCCTTATTCAAGCATGTTTCATATGGACTAAAAAAAGAAAAATGCCACAAATCTACATACATTTTAAAATAGCACACCACAGATCACATCTTAAAATCAATCAAGTTATTACTAACAACCAAAAACACTAAATGTACACAAAGTGAATTTAAAAATTATGATAATCTCAAAAAGCCATGTCTAGATGTGTCTTCCAGTGACTTAAATGTGCTCAACCAGAAAGACAGCTAATTCTACACTGTTTTCAAAATCAGCTGGCAGAATTAACTTGATGCTTATTGATTTATAAACTGTTGTTATTCAGCATCACAAACTTCCTTTCTCTGTTAACTGCAAGGTACAAAATAGGATAATGGCACTTTTGCTCAGTTTTCTTTTGCAGTTTAATCAGCTGTAGTAGCAGGAACTTTAACAGAGAGGTTTCTTCTGGTGTTGGTGATGTGCCGCTGCTGGGCTAAGAAGGACCGGGCAGGGCCACATGACCCGCTGTCCTTGTAAGCACCACTTCCGCTCACAAGCCTGGATTCCATCCCCAGCTTCTGGAATGCTAGACTCTGGGGAAAAAAGCAATGCATTATGTATTATATGAATTATAGTCTGTATATACAGAAAATGACCAAATACAAAGTTTGACAAGTAGTCTTCACATAGTTACTTAACAATGAAAACAATTCTATAAAGTCTAGACTGTCCTCATATTTATAGAAGAATGTGGAGGTTCAGAGCTGACTAATCTGCACATGGGAATGTTAGTAAGAAAGAAAAAAAGGATCCAGCACAATAGCTTAGCAATTAAAGTCCTCGCCTTGAACACTGGGATCCCATATAGGAGCTCGTTCTAATCCCGACGGCCCCACTTCCTATCCAACTCCCTGCTTATGACCCGGGAAAGCAGTCGAGGACGGCCCAAAGCCTTGGGACCCTGCACCAGCATGGGAGACCTGGAAGAGCTCCTGGCTCCTGGCTTCAGATTGGCTCACTTCCAGCCGTTGTGGCCACTTGGGGAGAAAATCAATGGATGGAAGATCTTCCTCTCTGTCTCTCCTCCTCATTGTATGTCCTGCCTTTCCAATAAAAATAAATAAATCTTTAAAATAAGTTTAATCGAGTCCTCTAAATTTGAAACAATGAAGAAATAGTTTAAAATAATATGCTATCTTTAGAGTGGATTATAACAAAACATGCCAAAGCAAGTTTAGTCCATCAATTTACCATCTACGAGAAGACATATCAGAACAGCAAACATCAGATGAGCCCTTACTACAATGTGGTCTGGGCTTTAACAAGGTTAGATCATTATCTTCAACATGTAAACAATGCACATTCTGGGGCTTACCCAGGCTGACCGAATCACAAACCCTGAAGGTGCACTTCGCAATTTGTGTTTTAACAAAAGAACTTTTGATGCAAGCTAACATCTGAGAACAAGTAGTACAGTGCAAAGTTGCTACAGTTTACCTGTGCTTTGACACATGAAACATGACTATGTTTTTGTTGCTTAGGTTTTTACTTTCTAAAAAATATGTAACATTTAGGCTAAAGTTAGAGAGGGGAACAGAAGCCAGACAGAGACATAGAGAGTGTTAGAGAAATTCCGTGGGCTGGCTCATTCTCAACCGTTTGCAGCAGCAGGGTTAAATCAGGCCAACAGCTTGAGCCACAAATTCTTTTCTGGTTTTGGCACGTGGGCAGCCAGAGCCCAGGTACGCAGGCCCTCAGCAAGTAATCAGGAACGTAAGTCAGAAGCAGAGTAGCTGGGATGCAAACTAGCTCTACAATGAGACAAAGGGAAGTCATGACTTGCTCTCACTACACTACATGACACAATTTTATTCAATGTGGCATCAGCAGCAGCAATAAAGTACATGGTACACAGCGGATGCTCATCAAAAACATACTAGAGAATGAGCCACACATTATTTAACTCATATATTCATTCAATTAAGCACCAAGAAACAGCAGAGCAGCAAAGAAAACAGTCTGCAGGTCTGATACCATTGGGATGACCAACTCATAGAAAGTGCTGGAAACAAACACTTCACAAGTGATTTGCATTGAGGTCCTGATGAATGAAGACAGATTTTACCGCAGATCAAAATCATGGTGACACCAAAGCACAAAGTCTACTGAGGATGGGGATTAGCAGTTCATGATAAAGCACAGTGTGCACACTTGGAAAGTCTCACAACAGATCTACTCTCACACTTGGTAAACGGCCAAGTTACTATCTGCTAGAGCTGATCAGAATGCCCCATCCCCCACTCCCAGCCAAGGAATTCCAAACACCCTGAGACACTGTCCTGGAGAAACGATTTCCTGTTACACCAAGGATGACAAAATGAGACACACTACACATGACCCCATGCTATTTTCTCCTTGATAGGACAGATACACAATCTCTGCTTAAAAAAAGCATTAATTGTACCAGCTCAAATAAAGGAATCTTAAGGAATATTTCTGAGTTAATATGCTTCAGCTCCTACTTGTATTAGCTTGATGTTGATGCACACAAATCGATCATGAGTGACAAAGAAAATAGCTAATTAAGTCACAAAATTAAGGTAACTTTCACTTTTGTTACATATATAAACATGTAATTAAGTCATCGTTCTAATTTACTACCCACTTATAGATGCAACTAACGTGAAAGTTACCACATAGAAAACAATATATATATATAGATCACAAGATCTATATATATATATAGATCTTGTGATATGATTGTCCATTTCAGTCCTTGTTTATATTCTTGTGGAATCGTTGTCTTCCCAACCTGTTGACTACTACAGTTAGTGGTGAGAGAAGTCTGTGATTACAGAGTGGGTTAAAAGACAATCACCCCTGGTGAAAAGCTTCAACAGTGTCCTAAACTTCTCATCACTAGCTGAATTTCAACTCACCTTATTATACCATGCTGAAACAATGAGTTTCTCTTCATAATCACGGAATTTTGCTACTTTACATTCGCTCTGGGAAAAGATGAGGACAATTAAAATCCTAGAAATCACCTCAAATTGCTTAAAACAGAATTAATTCTTCACTATGCTCACTGCTGAGAGAATCAGAATACATCTGTGAAGCACATGGAGCTGTCAATCATAGCCTGATTCATGCAGAAATGCATCCGCAAAACCTACAGAAAGCCTATGCCCTGCAACGAATTCAGAAGTTTTCTTTGCAGAACTGAGTAATGTAAATGTACACACACACAAACTTGCAACTTCCATGCTGTTTTCCCAACTTCTAGAGAAATCAGCAAAAACTGGCTGAGACAACAAAATACAGTTATAACTGCACACAAGTCAAAATCAAAAGAGGAAATGGTCAAAAACTACCCAGCAAGCCAGTTTAAAATGTCAGTATAGCTTTGGCTATATCTTCCTATCTAGATCTTTGGGGCCTTCATTAAAACAATCCCTGGTGCCATACTCACATGCCATCACAGACAGGCATCCTAACCCATAATTACTCTTATACCTTTTTTTCTGTGCGGTGTCACATACAGACAGCCATAAAATGCTGTCATCTTGAGAGTATACAGGAACCAAGCCCAAAACAAGGACCTCATGGGGCCTTTTCCTAACTCCTCTCTGCACCAGACACAAATGCCTCAAGACAGGTGACAGAATAATATTTGCAATGTATGTTAACTTTCTCTTTTTATTTATTTATTTATTTTGTGGTGTGTGAACCTGGATTCCCATGTGTTGGGTTTTTACTGTGGCTTCATTGAAGTTGTTCCTTAAGGGAACAGACCTACAGACAGAGGCACCATTTTCATCCTCATGCTTGCTGAGGATGCACATTCCAAACATCAGCAATAGTGCATGTTCTCTTTGGCCTTCCCTGGACACTAAACAGTCCAAGAGACGTTCGGTTCAAGGCTCACTATTTTCATGAAAAGATAGCCAGCCAGAAAGGAAAGCCCCTGCTTCAGATAAGAAGTCACCAAAAGGGCTGTGATCAACGGCTTGGATGATGTAATATTTAATGGTGGGGTTACAGAAACATAAGGAGCTTAAGCTACCTTGACATGTGTTATGAGAAAGACCAAAGCTACAAATTCATGAGTTCCAAATAAATAGACTCCAAGTGAAGAGAAAAGTATAGTTGTTTACAAAATGCAGGCAGAGCTTTATAGAAGGAGAAATATCTGAATTGGATGTTGAAGAAGTAATTCCATTTCTTAGACAGCTAGCCCTTCAGTGATGTTTGTAACACACTTTGGGATTGGGTTAGCACCAGTAGCAAGCACACCCGAGTGGTGTGTACTCTGGAATTAGGGAGGTGGAGGTGCTGAAACCTTCAGGCCTTAGTCAAAAATATTTCTACCATTCCGTACCTAGTTGTTCAGAAACAATTCCAAGGAAAATCTATATAAATAGAACGTGTTTTTGATGGAATACAACAAATGTAGTTGACCTAAAAAAGAAGGCAGAATACAACACAGCTTTGCAATGATAAACACTATCAGAAGGAAACATAAATGGACGTCAAGAACACATCAAATCTCATCACCATACTCCAGAACTTCTGCAAAATATATTGCAAAGTAAACAGAATATTCTTAATTATAAAACCTAAGTAATTTCACACTGACATATTTCTCCAAGCTCAAGAAAACCACTCTCATGAAAATACTTTTAAAATTTGGACACAATTAACTCATAAAAGTATGTCATTAATAATATAACCTTACACACTGAACAACCAATTTTGTCATTTTAGTTCATAGGTATACTGGGATTCTGCATTTCCTTCCCCCCAATGTTCCAAGTATGTGTAGGTTCAAATGAAGAACAGATAGAAGATAAACCTGGTTAACTGCATGGACATAGTATCTTTCATAAAAAACAATCCCATTTGTTTTCTGAATAAAACCACATACACAAAAATTATAAAAGCAGAATTATAGCAGGACTCCATTAAAAGCCAGGGAAATGTATATGACTGGTCATCCTGGGGAGATACACAAAAGGCACGCAAACTGTGCAGAGACCAATGTAGCAGGCCAATGAGATACTGTTGATGGATGGATGGAGAACAAAACATGACATTTCTAACTTCCTGTACTTCATGGAAAGTATAGATGACAACAGAAAATTAATTACCAGGATTTCATAGGAAAATTAAGGGGAGATGAGTAAATATGGTAGATTTACCTCTAGAATCTCAATTCTTCTCTCTTTCTCTGCCAACTGCTTTCTGAGCAGCATTATTTCAGCTGATGCTGGATTTAATTTAGGATCTAAAGTTTTGATTACCTGTTCAGAGAGAAACAAATTATTTTCACTATGTGCTTCGTAATCTTGGAAATATAAGAACATATTTTGTAAAGCCCTTGTAAAGTGGAAATTTATCCACCAACTATCCCTGGAGTTAACTATACTTTGACAACCCAATTAGAATAATAACTTACTTTGTAGATGAGAAATATCTAATGTACTCCTAAATACAAGATCCACAGAGTAGAGATTGTTGATCTTATCCACAAAGGATAGGGTGGGGTGCCCCACCATATTTATGTAACTTACTAAAAGTTAGGTTTAAAAAAAAGAAGATCTTGGGCGCCAGCATTGTAGCATGACAATTTAAACTTCTGCCTGCAAGTGCTGGTATCCAAATGCTGACATGGGTTCCAATCCAGCTCCCTGGGAATATGCCAGGGAGAGCAGCAGAAGACAGCACAAGTTCTTGGACTCCTGCACACAAGTGAAAGTACTGGAAGAAGCTCCAAGATTCTGTCTTTAGCCTGGCACAGCCACGCTGTTAGGGTGTTGGAGCCACCTGGGAGTAAACCAGCAGACGGATTTATTTTCTCTCTTCCTTTCTCTGTTTATCCCACTTTACAATGCATATTTTTAAAAATATTCTTTTTTACAAATGAGTGATGGTTGTTCATAATTTAAGAGAGATTCAGTTAACTTACACAGATAATATTCTGCTAACAAATCATTTTTGAAATGTCAGATATAAATTACAATCAACAATTATAAATTTACAATGATAGTGAGACACTTGTACAGTATAATTATAAACCTTGCTTTCCAAAGGTTTAAAATTACTTAATGAGTTAGGAAAATGTCAGTGATATTTACAAGGATTAAAAAAGACTAAAAGGTAATATACCAAATTATTATTATGGTTCATTCAAATGCCATTTCCCAAGTGTAGACTATGTGACAGATGTGTAACAGATGAGAATTTGACAACTTACAAAATGTGGCACTTGCCTTCATGGAGTTCAAACCGCAAAAGCAGAACACATTAATATATCTGAATCATAATTACCAATAATAAATCATAATTTGGTATCTAAATGATAAAAGTTTGGTTGTGATATTTTTATGCCCTGAATTTTCTACATGAACATATGTTATTTTAACCAGTAATATGACTAATATATTAATTCAATATGATATATGTTATGGTCCACTTAGCTGAATATGAAGTATGCATTATTCCACATTGGTAAATCTGTTGTATAAATTCACTGTGTGCACTGTCCCAGTGCTTGGGAAATATTCCAGAAAATTTTATTTTTAACAAACTCAGTGAGGTTCCAGCAAATGAACCTTCTTGGGTCATTCTGCCAATGATCCCATGGGTTACAGCAGTCATTCTTCCCCAGTGAGGTCACTATTATGGATGTTTAAGTTGCCCACACAAAGCTATAGGTTTATTTTTCTCTGTCTCTGGTGAGCGAGACTAAGAGTGTGAGGACTGATGCTGAGACTGCAGGATCCAGACAGGAAAAGCCAGGTGATGGGGAGCCCCAGGATGAGCAGCAGGTAAGAGAAGGGCAGGACATTAGGTGGGACAGGCTGAATCAAAGCCCAGGCCACAAGTCCTGCAAGCACAAGGCACTCACATTTCTGGCTTTCTCCAGGTACATTTTATATCTTTCCTCCATTGCTTTCATATCTTCATCTTTCTTCTGAAGGGCAGCTTCAAGTTCATTGATCTTTTGCACTATTAGTAAAAATCAAATGAAACATGATCCATTACTACCTATCACACTCAATATTTTTTATTTAACAAGATAATATTTTGTTCCTTCCTATACTGAATTATTATCTAATTTTAATATGACTAGTATATTCTCATTCATGACTCCTTAAAATACCAATAATATGGTTCATCTAGTTATTTTTTTCTTTCCTACCAAGTATTTAAACAAGCAAATATACCATAATGTTACCCATAGCTATATATGAGGCATTATTTTTATAAAATATGTAAGTTTTAATCTTATTAAAGTTATCTTATTCATATTTTCATACTATCAATCCTATTCCATTTCATGTTTGATACTCCTATATATCAATCAGTTCATTTTATTAGATTTTGCTTTAATATTAGAAAATATATTATTGTTGTCAGCACTAAAGTTACCATGGTTCTCATTTCCAATGCATGAGAGTACTTCAAAAAGTTTGTGGAAAAATATGGACTTAGAGATGAGCTCATTCTAGTATAAAAAAATTTCAAATGTATGCATAGTTTTTTCATATTATGTGCTTTTCATGAACTTTTTAAAGACCCATCACACGCACTGATGCACTGTGCAAAAACCTAGTATCAGTTTTTGCATCCTCCAACTTGAACAGACAAGCCCTTAGATCTAGTTTGACCCATATTTTCAAAAATACCTACCATTTTGATTTATATCTGGCTGAAGATCTTCTATGAGCTCTTGTTTCTTCTGTAATTCTTCATGGACCTCTGTTAGTTTTTCCCTAAGTGGTGGAAAGAGCATGGAGCTTGGAGTCAAATGGACCTAACATTGAAAACTTGTCTGTGCCACATAACATTTGTGGACTTTGAGTCATTTTTCAACCCTTAGTTTCCTCTCTTATTCAATAGGAAACTGCCTAACCACAGGGGTCATCAGGAGGATGTAAATTGCCTGACGTGGTGGATACCAAAAATTCAAAATTTTTGCCCTTGCCGCAATCACTTCCTAAGGAAATAGAAGCAATTATTTCACAGGTTTAATATCTCCCACAAATGTGTTATGAGTGTTGCTGCTCTGTCACACACTGCAACAGGAATCAGTGACTAACACAGTGAGGGCTTTGGGGTGGCCAGCAGGCAGCCTCAACCCAGTATTGTACTTCTCTGCTCTCCTTTGGTGCCGGTGTCCAATGCTAACTGAGCTTCAAGGGATATGTTTTCATAACAGAACAAGAAAAGGAGAGTAACTTCAGAAGCTTTTACATCCCTTCCCCTCTCATATTTGAAATAAAATATCAGTTTTACTTACATATGAGCTTCCAACTTCTGCTTTAATTTGCTGGACTATAAAATTAAAAAAAGTTGCTGTAAGGTAACTATTGTGAGAAAGGTACATTTTCCAGACATATAAATCTCTCTACTTCCTTTTGCAGGTGTACATGTAAAATTATGAAATGCTTTTAAAATTTCCAATAACATTTTTAAAACTAAATAGAATCTTAAATATTATTTTACTTCAGAAGGGAAACAAAAGAACAGAAAATGAGAGCATAAAGAAGAAACGTGGACAACGTGAGCTGAATGGATATATGGAGGAGTATCAAACACTGGAACAGCTAACAAATCATTCATTCCAACTACCAACTCTATGATTCTTGGCCTTTGATAAACAAATACTTGTTTTGCAGCTTTTTATAAATTTATGAATTTAATGGAATTTTATCTTCATGTTTTTTCATCATAAACACAGGCACATTATTAACACCAAAATGAAGCAACTAGATTTATGTTAAAAAAAATTTAGAACACAAATGTGTCTTTTGAAAGAAGCATCTTAACAAGCCATAGATCTGCATCTACTGAATCTAGCTGTAGAGTTTAAATAGTAAATATAACTTAGACATCAGTAAATTAAAAGATAAAGACCTTTAAAACACAGTAGTGCGAAACATAGTCCCTTAAAAAGATCCCATTTTTAAAGTATCCGTTAATGTGGCTTTAAAAAATATTTGTATTAGAGAGGTTACAATACCGTATATATGCACATATGAGATGCCGCCATGCATGAGACGATTTCTATTTTCCAAGCCCCCAGGGAAAAAAGAGAAAATCATATAAAGCACATAAAAGACAGAAAGGAAATGCAACCCTTCAATCTCCCTTTTCATCTCTACTTTGCAGAGCTTCCTCCCCCATCAGCACAGAACTAATTGCCCAACATTCCAATACCAAGCAATCAATCAGTACCTCTTCAACGTACATATACCCCTAAGCTTTATGTTTTATACATCCCTCTCTCCATCATTACTTCTTTTCTTCTCCATAGAGAGATTAAATGATAGAACTGATAAATAAATCCAGATTTAAGCTACATCTGGTTGTCCTGTAAGATGGATTATCTCTGTCCTCATGCTCTCTATCTGCCGTTACAAACCATGAAGCCATGAGTCAGTATGGAAGGAAGGAACAACTGGTAACCCCCATAGGTTTGATGACTCTTACATACATTTTCAATAGAAATCATTTTCTGTCCTATCAGGAGGCTTGCTTAGTTCTGATTGCTAACTGTTCTCATCTTTACTTCCCTTAGCCTTGGTGCTGTTGCAATCCCAGCACCACTGCAAAGGCCACACGGGTGATCTGGAATTATTTGTTCTCTCAAAAATTGTGCTGGGAGCTTTGTCCTTATGGTGGCAGTATGGCAAGGTGACAGACCTTTAAACAAACAGTGTGGATAATGGGAGGTCCTCTCGCCATCTGGGATGTAACCTTGGAGGGATTAAGGTATATCTCATGGGACCTTGGTTCTCTCAAGAGGAATGTGACACAAGCCTAATCTTCCACACCCATCTCTCTGGCTTCCGGGAGCAATGTGACAGCCTGTTCCTGCTCAAATCTGAAATCCTGATTCCCCATGAGGCCATCCAGCTTCGGGGAGGGAGGGCTGGCTTGCCAGATTTTGGGCCATGTTTCTTGGATTCCCAGCCTCCAGAGCTGTAGCTAATAGATTTCTCTATATTTGACTGCCTCAACTATTTCACGATAGCAATGAAAAAATGATCAATATAGCCTCAGCTGTAGCATATCTTCAAGCAAGAATTACCACAAAGTTAGGAGTTACTGTTGAAACAGGACAGAGAGAAAACATCTTGCAACATATATGGTAAAGTCATAGGCTCTAAGCCGGCAAAAATCACTGCATCTGTTATGCAGATATATACGGTATTTAAGGGTATCCTCAATGGTAAGGGTAATACGCTCAAACAACAGAATAATCTGGCCATCAAGATCTACTGGAGAAAATCCACAGAACAAAATCACAGTAACTGCTAAGCTACTTACGCTTTCGCCTTCTGATTTGGAACCCTGTTCTTGTAAAGACTTCTGGAGGTCCTCGATTTGCTGCTGTAATTCTCGGATGCGCTCTTTACTCAGCCTACGGTAAGATGAGTCATACAGATAAATTTGTATTGAAATTCAAAATAGTTCATGATCTATAAAATTATATCTGTCACTTTACTAAAAATATATACATTTGGTGGCAATAATGAATGCAGAACAATTACATGTGACTATGTTTAATTTGTAGCACTGAAGGCTACTTTTCAGAAAATACTTTAAAAATAAATTCTGTTCTTTTCCTGGAAGCATACATTTTACTTATGTTAGTGGAAAAAATATAACATTTCTGCACCAGGATCACTAGGAGAAAAGCTAGAAAAGCAGCTCATTTTTCCTACATTTGTATTTTTAATGAGTGGAAACTAAGTTTCTGTTCGCTGCTTCAGGTTTCAGGGAGCACTGGGTGAAGAGAAAGGTCACCATTTCTCAACCAGTTCTTTTTCCTCACTTTCTCTTTAAAGAGATTGACACTAGCAATTGGCGCAAAGTTTACCTTGGACAATTTTCATTTTTTGAAACTTTGCTTAAGAGTCCCCTTCCACTGCAAGTTACCAGCGAAAGTTCATACATCTCTGTGTGTTTGTCTCCCACTCACACTTACATACACACGTACACACACACAAACATATGACATATACACTTCCCCAAACTACTTTGTAGTTATTATACAGTAATTATCTGACATGTCTCATGTTCCAAAATCCATAAGCACATATTTAGTGTATGAACACCTGACACTGAACGTATGTGAGACAGTGATGATATTCCCTTATCAACATTTGAAGACACAAAGTCAGAGAATCCAAATGTCTTGTGGTTTCAACAGAATGTGGATAAATAAATCCACATATCAAAAGTGGATAGAAGTCACAGGCTAGCACTGCAGTTAAGAGACTCAAATTGACACAATGGTCAAATGTGCATTACTAACTCAAACCTAGTAGCTGTAGAACTGGATCAGCTACTTAATCTCTCTGTACTTAACATCCTTATTCACAGAAAAGAGAATCACCTGTTACTTCATAGAGTTATTGAGAGGAAATATGGAGTTAATATGAAAAAAGTGACACTAACTACCTGATCCTCCATGATGACCACACACTCAGGCATGTTACATACTGTTATGATTACACTTGGTTTTGATCACCTCATTTTACCAAATGGTCCAGTTGCCACATGTACATTATCTTCCTAACAATCTATATTTGTAGATGAAGACACTGTGAGTTTAAATAACTATCCCAGAAACAATAAAGTCAAAATGAGGATCAAATTTGGCGGTATATTCCACATCCTTACCACGAACCAGACATTAGAAAGGCAAACTCTCAGCCATTTATTTGTAAAGATTCCCTGTCAGTTACGAATATATCTAAACAAGCTCAGGAATAAGCAGCTCAGCTACCAGGTCTGTTACAGTCAATGCATCCTTTTCATATTTTATAATAGTACAAAAGAAAGAATCACTTGATTTCTTCAGTAGAATGAAGCTTATATTAGAAAGAAAATATTGACAATAGTAGCAAAGACCTCAGACAACATCTAGGTGGTTCTTATCTAACTGCAATGATATTTGCATAGGGGCACAAGTCACCTCTGCTCAGTCTCCAACTCATTCATCTTGCGGTGCTTCTGCTCCAGCTGTCCCTGCAGTTCTTCGATCCGCTCGTTCTCAGTTCCCTCCTGCTGCAAGCGAAGCATCTTGTTTTCATGCTGCAGTCGGATGAACACCTCCCTGAGTTGGAAAAGCAAAATTTGTTTTACACTCTTAGAATGTAAGTCATTATAAAAAAAAAAAGGACTCTCTGTCCACTCAATATTGCAACCAAAGCTTCATCTGAAAAACAATGGATATTTTAAGATATTGCTTCAGAAACAGCATAACTTTAAAGATCCCAATGTAGGATTATAATTAATGGTTATTGTGCACATTTCTAAGACATAAGGTGATTCACTTCTGTAATTTAGAACCTCTTCACTAAAGGAAGTAGTGTATGCTTAGAAAAAATATAAATGAAAGAAAATAATTTGTCTAAAATTTTAAATATAACTTTATAATGGTAATAATAAAATAGTTTTCAGATCTTCATTTTAGAAAAATGTGTTTAAAATTATGTGTATTTTAACTATATGCAAGTAGCAAATAGTCTCTTAGTTGCTCCCTTCCTAAATTCTATAACCCAACCCAACTCAACTCAAGCAATTCCAATTTTTGTTCTTATAAATGCCAGAAGGGTAACTACAGATTTTAAATTAACATATTTAAATTTAAAAATTAAATTCCAAAATGCTTCAAAATTTAAAACATTTTGGAATTTTTAGCATGATGACTCACTCCCCAGAAAGTTAAAGCATTTCTCACTTTACATATCTACCACTTTCCTCATCATAAGTCAAACTGTTCTTGTCTTCTAATTGTCACCTTAAAAAACCATTTAATTTTCATTTGTGTATTTTCGTATTCTTTTGAAAGGCAGAGCAACAAAGAAAGAGGCAGACAGAGAGATATGGAGAAGTCTCCTGGCATCTGTTGGTTCATTTCTCTAATGTATGCAGTGGCCAGGGCGGGGATAGACTCAATCAGAAGCCAGAAGGTCAATTCAGGATATTTACAGAGGTGGCAGGTACCCATGTATGAGCCATCATCTGCTGCCTCCCAGGATGGGCAGCATATGCCAGGTGGGCATCCCAAGTGGTGTGTTAACTGGTACACCAAGCACCTGCCTGTACTGTGCAAGCTTTAGACAGCTATCATTTTAACAACACAGCACACTTGATTTCATCTCCTAAACAAGAACTGTCATAACAATTACACCATGTTTTATACTCAGCAAAGTTATAAAATTTTCCTAATAAATTTTAAACTTATATGGTATGTATATATATACATATATATATATATATATACCTATATATATATGATTTAGGAAGGTGAAGCTAATATGACATAATGATTTTCAGCTCTGTAACTTGTCACATTTAAGTACGGGCAAATGAACCAAGAAAGAGCCTCCTAAAATAAATGTATATTATTAATAACATAAAGTTTCCAGTTGAGTGTATAAGAAATTTTGATATTATCAACTACATTCTAACATAAAATTAAAAATTTAATCAGAAATCAACAATTATGCTAACATAAAGAAAGCAGTCACACCAAGGGTCATATCCACTATAGTTCCATGTACAGGAAATGTCTAAATCAAGCTGATAAAAATGGAATAAAAACTTGTGGGTTGCCCAGAGCTGGAATATGGAGGAGATGCCGGAACAAAGAATGACTGTTATCAGCTACGGGGTCTCCTTCAGAAGTGATGCAAAGTTTCTAAATGTGGTTGCAAAAATGTCTGTGAATGACTAAAAAAAACTGCATATATAAAGAAGAATTATATCTCAAACTATACAAAGACTGCAGAGTTTGAGATAATAAGTCAATTTTTACCACAAAATGAAAACAAAAGCATAAACTCACTGCATCAGTCAAATGTCTACAAGTAAATACAGCAGTAAAAGGCAAACAGAAATGCTGGGCCCAGAAGAACTTCTACAATTTATATTTTAACTAATACTTAATTCTCTTGTTATCACTGATAATTTATCTCCCATTTTTTATCTGTGTGGATGTGAATGTCATATATACTAAAATTTTTCATAAAGTTAAGAAAAAAAATTATTTCAACACAATAAAGGTCACATAATATAAAGCATATTATGTTATCATGATATTTGCAAAATTTTACTTTTGATAAATTTTAAAATTTCATGGCAGCAATAATTTGATAATTTGACTTACAAAAGTTAACCCAATGAAGGTAATTTTCTGTTTTCTGACTCATAAAATAAAAAGTTTTTTTAAAGGCCACATTTAAAAAAAGAAAGAAAGAAAATTCTAACAGTAAGTATAGTAATTATGTGATAGCAACAGACTTACCTATATTCCACTGGCATAATCTCAGCAGCAAGATTCTCATAGCTTTTTGTAGCAGATGCATCTAAACGACAAAAGCACATTGCTGGCTCAGTGTTTCATCCACTGAAAAAACAAAAGAGCTTTCTAAACCTAACACTTGTTTCCAAACTCACCTGTTTGATTCAGGTGATCCTGCTGCATTTGTGAACATCGAAGCTCTTCATTGGTTTCTTTCAAAGTATCACGCTGCTCTATTAGTCTCTAAGAAAGAACGTTAACGTTAGCAAAGAATTTCAGTTTGCCTATAAGCAAAGTACTATATGCTTAAAACATCTGAACACGATAAAAATTGTGGCTTAATCAAAATAGAAATGTTTTCATTTTAAGAGCCTTATTTTCTCCTGCATGGTCAAAAACACCTTTATACAAAACACAGCTTGAGATCTCTGTATGATATAGACTGTCTTTGAATCAATATAAATGCACTACGAATATGCATCAGTGATACTAGGTAATAAAGAACATGCACTTCGGAGGCAAACAGATCATGGCCTAAGTATCACTCTTTCCACTTCTAAGCTTTGTTAGCTGGCAAGTTATTTATCTCTTTGGCTTTAGTATTCATATCTCAAAGTGGGAATACTGAAACATAAATTTGCCAAGGACATTTTGAGCAACAAATGTGGCAAGGTTTGTCGAATCATCAAATACAGGTTGGCATGTAAACAACATTACACACCAGTTATTACTTTCATTGTTGTTGTGAAACTACAAGGGACAAACAGCATCCCACAGGAATGTATAGAAAAACACCATTTCCCCAATTTAGTCTATTAGTATTCATAAGTTGACATTTATATTAGAGCCTATATATATGACAAATCTCTATTTTTTTACAAAAGGCTCATTATTACTTAAATAATAAAAAATAACATTAGGCACTAATTATAAAACTTGACTATGAGAGGATCTTTAAAAAAATCTGCAGAAAATTAATATTATGAAAAAAAAATAATTCAGGAAGCTCACAATTTTTATATACCAAAATAGACTTTTCATCTTAAAACAGCAATTTGCAAATGCTTGGATGTAGATTTTTAAAATAATTTGTTTTAAGGAAATGGAATGAATTTCCAGAAAATATAGAGAAACAACGCAATACTCTGAGACACTTGACAGATGGAATTAAACAGGAGCCCTAAAACCGAAAAGTACACAAACTGAAATTTCAAATGATATAAGGCATCCATTCATATCAGGAAAAAAAATCAACAAATAAAAAGAATTAGCATACTTAAAGATAGTTCTTTGAAAACTAAACAGCTGGAGAAGAAAAAATTCAAAAGGACAAGCAAAGATTATGGGAGCTTTTTGGAAAACACAAAGAGAACAAATATGTAAGTTACTGGAGTTCAAGAGGGAGTAGACAACGCCAAAGGTGTAGAAATAAGAGACAATAACAGCTAACTTTCCCAACATAGAGACACCGTTCTCCAGGCACAGGAAAGCCAAAGGCTGCATGCCAGATTTAGTCTAGCAAGACCTAGACCAAGGCAACCTATGAGCAAGCCTTCTGATGTTAAAGAGAGGATTCTCAAAGCGCAGAGAAACAGGTAACACAGAAGGGGTTCTCAATCTGCCAGACTAAATGCTGCCCAGCAGAAGAAAGGTGAGACTTCTATAGTACTGAAGGAAAGGTTTTCAGCCAAGAAAACTGAGATAGGGAGGTATGTTGGTAAGTTGTTGATAGAGACAACCCCAAACAAACAAAAGCTATGAGCTTTTGTTGCTAGCAGACACCATTATGACACTAAAGCTAGCTCTATAAACTGAAGGAGATGTTGATGAGTAAAAATAGAGGCAATTATCAGAAGGTAGACAACTCATTAGTAAAACTACACAGACGAACTAGTAAGAATGCTGTTAATACTGTACACGTGGTACAAAAACATTCAAATATTTAATGTGAAAATAAAATAAACATAATTAATGCTAGGAGATAGGAAATTAATCAAATATAAAACAGCATATTAAAGCTTCCAAGTGTGGAGAGACATGGGATAAAAGAATGAAGTTGTTTACTGGAGCTTGTTACCTTTCATTTTTTTTAACTACTTTTATACACAATAGTAAGTTTCTAGCATTTATGCACGTTTGTTGTAACTAAAATAAGTTCTTTACCATGCTCTTGGTAATCACAAAGCAAAAAATTATAACATATATATGAAAATAAATATGGTATCATAAAACTTTACCAAAGAAAATGAATCACAGAGGGAAACTCTTGAGAGGACAAAAAAAAAGGAAATAAATTAGAAAGCAAGAATGAAAATGGCACTTGTAAGACTGTTTTAACTACAACTGACTTACAGCTAAATTCTTTTAACTTCTCTTTACTGTAGAAGATTTTTATTTCATTTTCAAAGACAAAAGAAAGCTTTGCTGGATACGTGATCCTGGGCTGGCAATTTTTTGCTTTTAGAATCTGGAATATGTCACTCCATTCTCTTCCTGACTGCAGAGTTACTGTGAGAGGTCTCCTGTGAGCTTAATTGGCATTCCTTTAGATGTCAGTTGATTTTTTTCATGTGCACATTTAGGATCTTTTCCTTATGTTCAATTGAAGAAAGCTTGATGATCATGTGTTGTGGTGAAGATTCCTTTTGATCAAGTGTGTTGGGATTTCTTTGTCTCTCCTGGATGTTGTTCCCCAATTCTTTCTCCAGATTAACGAAATTTTCCCTTATTATTTCATTATATATATTTGCAAACCCCTCTTCTCTTTCTGCACCTTCTGGGACTCCCATAACTCTCATATTAGGCATCTTAATAGTGTTTTTCAATTCTTGAATACTTTTTTGGCCTGATCCAGCTCTGCTTCCGGCTTTTTGTTTGCTTTCTCCTGGTCACAGGACATATCTTCCGATTCTGAGATTCTTTCTTCTACTTGCTTCATTCTATTTTGGAGACTCTCCAATGTACTTTTCATTTGCTCTACTGTGTTCTTAATTTCTGATCTGTCAGCCTTGATTTGCTTTATTGTTGCTATTTCTTGTGTAACATATCCCTTAAATTCTTTGAATTCTTGTAAGTGCTTCTCATTGTTGATCAGAAGCTTTAAAATGAGTTTTCTGAATTCTGTGTCCCCCTTTTTCTTCCTCAGTTAACTCTGAGGTTGGCATAGGGTTTTGCTCCCTTGCAGGATTCTTCAGCAATTTATTTTGCTTTTGTGTCTTCTTTTGCTCATGGTCATTGTACTTCTAGCTATCAGATTCTTCTCCTTGAGGCAGGTTTCTAAGCTGTGTCATCCACAGGTCTACAGATCGGTTTTACTTATTGCAGTTTGTACACGGCTCTTTGCTTGCAGTCAATTGTGCCATTACCTCCAGCAAGTTCCAGGTCTGGGTTTTTATGTTTGATTTCCACCATGGTTTCCGTAGCCCCAACTCTTAGCTCACAACTCTCTGCCTCCTGTGATATCATGTCTTTGTTACACTGTTGTCTCTGCAACAATTCCTCCACTTCTAGTTGGAACAGGTCCCAGGATTAGGGAGACACCAGGTGTCCTACAGCTACCTTGTTGGTGGTTGTGATCTTGCTGGAACCTGTATGCCATTAGGTCTGGGTGCCACATGGACCTATTTTCACAATACGATGCCACAGTTGGTATTATTTTCCACAGGACCAGTCCAATCCACTGAACTCAACTCTCATGAGCTCAGCACATGTGCAGCTCTCTGTTGTCCACTGAAGTCCTAAAACTTTTGCCACAGTGTACAAAATGGCCCCTTGGCATGTCACTACTAGAGTTCTTGATCTGCTGGCTATCAGGTCTGAGGGATACTCAGACCTGTCTGGATGGAACCTTAGGTTGCCATGTTGTTGCAGTTCACTGAGTCAGAAATGAGTTCACGGGTGGGTCTCTGGACAGGGCGTCTCATGCCTGCATCCCAGACGACATCCACCATGTGCACATGGTGAGCTGTCCCCGGGCGGCCAGTGCGCCATTTGGTGCCAGGCTCTTGCAGCTGTCCGCCCTGCCAGGGAGCTCTGGGGTTTTGTTTCTTCGAGTCGCTGCTTAGTTAGCTCCAGGTTGAACCCATTGGGCTTCTAGGACATGAACCATTTGTAAAAATTCCCATTGGCAGTAACTCTTTGTAAAACTTGTAATCACTGAACAATGCTGACCACCAAATACCAGTCCATGCAAAAGTTATGGCTTCGGGCTTGTCCTGTATAATTATATCATGTTACCTGTCATGATGAGGGATCAGGAGAAAGGTCACATTAAGCAAGCCATTACATTAAATAGCACTCAAGAACCATAACCGGGGATAAATTTTGTGAGGGATGTGTGGACCACATCCTGTGAAAATTCTAGCCCCACTGGTTAGCTCAAGAGTTGTGATGGTGATGGAATAAGCTAGGTGTGACCAAGGAGCCTGCCATCAATCACAGGTAAAGGAACCCCCAATAGTCGGGACTGGTCAGGGCAACAGCACCCAAATGTGCATCCTGATTAGGGTGTGGGGTGGGCCGTGCTGCAACGTTCACCAGCTGATACAAGGCCAAATGGAAGGCCAAACTGTGCCGGGCACTGGCCTAAACCCAATGGCATGTATGAGAACTGGGTCTGCAAGTGGATTAAGTAGAGGAACTTGGGAAACTAACTTGGCAAGTCATAGCTCCCGCTGGCGAACATGTGGTCCAGACCTGGGGGTCGGACAAGCTGGGAAAAGTAGCTCCAACAGCTGGCAAATTTGTCAATTGGTAATGGAACAGGGTAGATCAGGCAGGACTGAGCAAACCTTAGTCCACAAGCAAAACTAGAGACCAGGAGGGAGCACAGGTCATGCCGAGCTAGGCTCTTGTACCTACTAGTCTGTGTGAGCCAGGAATGCTAAGCCACAGTGTCTAAGGCAGAGGTCAGGACAGGTGAGGGGCTGTGCCAAGCTGAGTCAGAGCAACCACTGCCATGCAAGTGATCTATGGCTGAGAACAGGCCCGGTTGGGGAGCCAAGGGGACAACCCTAGCTGGGTTGAGGTTCCCACCAAGGGGCATGCGACCTGGAATGGGGGCTGCGTTCTGGTCGGGAAATGGTTGTAGTCTCCCTTGGCACAAGTGTGGACTGCGATCGGATGCACCGAGCCGGGCCAGACCCCAACACCCTCTGGTGTCCTGGAGGACCGGGATAGATGTGCGATGGACTAGACAAGGTCTCAACCCCCTACTGAGACATGTGTGAGTCATATGTGGGTATAGACGAGCCATGGCTGGGCTGAAACATCCAACAACAAGAACCAGCTTGGGTCGAAGGCCGGTTAGGAAAAGAAAGCCATTGTTCCTGCTATGACAGGAGGTGAACTGAGTAAGGCTGGCTCATCGACCCGTTGGTGAGCGTGAAACCTGGCATTGGGAGAGGTTCTGATGGAGGAGCCTGGACAACTCCTCGGGCAGGACACAGACCCGGCAGGTAAGCGCAAGAAACATGATAGGAAACAGCCCATTACAGGCCAAGGAAAGTTACCCACTGGCATACAATTGGAAGGAGTCGGGGAAAGATCAGGCTGAATCTGTCCACGTCATCCACTGGTAAATCCAAGCACCAGAACAGTGTGCTTCGATCACAACAAAGATTAGTGCACAATATGGATTGCCAAGGTGAGGTTGCCTGTACTGGAAATGACCGCAGCACCCAACCAGCCAGCGTGAGAACAAGGGGGCAGAGCCGGCAGGGAATAAGGGGTGGTTCCTTTGCTGGACAGCTACTCCCACTGGAGAGCGTGAGCTGGGATGGGGGCAGACCAGACTAGGCAGGGCTACAACACCTGCGAGCCTCAGGTGGACTAGATCAGGGAAAAGCAAGGCTGGGCTGATTATTCCTACTGGTGCAAACAAAATTAGAGTGGGTGAGGGTTGTTTTGTCTCAGCCATAGCATCAGCTGCAAGAAGCTGGCACTGGGGGCTAGTTCTGTCAAGTCAAACCGCAGGCTATCTGGAGAGTGGATAATCTGGGAGTGGGAGCAACCTGGGAGGGAAATAGTGGGCTCCTCCCTCTTTTTTTAATTTTAATTTTTTTTATTACATTGCATTATGTGACACAGTATTATAGGCACTGGGATTCCCCCCTCCCCTCCAGGGCTCCTCCCTCTTGGGTTACCACTTCCACGGGAGGGCATAAAACTAGGACAGCCACTGGGATGGAAAGAGGTGTGGGACAGACTGGACTACTGCTACACATACTGGCAAACCAGGGTAGGGGGTGGGCCTGGTAGGGGTTATTGCGGGTCCCTCCAACTAGTCTGCAGCTCCCACTGGTTTATGCAAGGGCCAAGTATGTGCTGGTCAGAACCAGGCTGGACTGCAACACCCATTGGTTCCAGTGGAAGTTGGGAGTGAAAACAGAACCAACCCAGCAATAGCAACCACCAGCTGATCGGGGCGATGGATGGTGCCAGGCCCTGTACTTGCCAGCACATACCAGAATCTGGTTTGAGAACACCTCAGACAAAGTTTTTTTGGAGATCTCCCCAATCAAAATGCTGGACTCAACCTTAACCAAGAAAAGAGAGAAGACAGAACAGATCAACCAACCATCTCAGCTATATCTTGGCAGCGAAATACGAGTCAAACAGACTTTATGATGGACTATGTCAACCAGTGGATTCTTCAAAGACCTCATAGTGCCGGAGTGGCAAGATTGGCAGCGATTCATAACTGCTGAAATATCAAAACCACTTGAGCAAGAACCTCAGAGCATACCCTACATCCGGGACCTGGGGAGGGTGGGAAATTGGGTGGGCCTTCTCCCTTAATATCCCCTTTAAACATGAGGGAAACTATATGGAAAAAATAAGTCTTACCCACTTTCCTGTAGCCCTTAACCTTTTTACCCTAATTAACTATGTAAAGATTGCCAATAAAAATTTTATAAATTAAAATAAAAAGAAATGAGTTCACTCCCAGCTCAGTGTATGTTCAGTACTTTCCCTTGCCTTTGCCTCCTTAAGACAAATGGCACCCAATTCGGCTCTAGGGGGCTGACTGGGCTGTGAAATCCATTTCGTAATGCCCTACTAATGATACCTCATGATGTTCTCTTGACAGAGAAGAGGAATAGCACCTACCAAAACCAAAGGCAAATGTGAAGAACATCCCAATAAAATAAGAGCAGAAGACTAAATCAATGAACAACCCATTCCTAAAATGACAGGACCAAATTACCACCCATACATATTAACCCTGAATGCAAATTACTTAAGCTCAATCAAACATCATAGATTAATAGACTGGATTAAAAAAACAAAACCCATCTATTTGTTGTCTAGAACAGACACATTTCACCAACAAAAATCAGAGGAAACTATATCTCATGGATTTTGATATTTTGTTTTTGTTAGTTTCATCTCTTCAAATCACTTTCTTCTGATTAGATTATTCAGTGATTCATAGATCATATAGAAGCATCATTTTCTTCAAGAAGGTTCTCAATTTAATTTTTCATTTCTGCAGCGACACATTAGTCATTCAGTAGAATGTTATTTAACTTCATGATGTGATTAATTTCTTTTTTCTTCCTGTTGTTGATTTTGTATTGTGGCTTTTCATTTAAGGGGATGTATAGTAGCTGTGTAGTGGAGACTGTCATATCTAGTAACATGTTATTTAACTTCATAGCATTGTAAATTTCTATTTTTCTTCCTATCGTTAATTTTGTATTGGGGCTTTTCATTTAAGGGGATGTACAGTAACTGTGAAACGGAGACCAAAATAACCAGATGTGAGGTTACAATGTAGTATGCATCTCTACTTCCAGACAAAGATTGACTTACAATGAAACTGTTTAGTACATCTTGACAATAGGATGCTGGACTCTGCCATTGTCCATGCCCACAATGATGGATATATGACTGTGTATAAAGAACTGCATTTTAGTAATGATATAGTGGAACTCAGTGCTGGGGGTGGAGCTGGGGAGGGAATAAGGGAAATCCTAGGAGCCTATGGAACTGTATCATAAAATGATAATAATAAATAAAACAAATTTTAAAAAGAAAAAAAAAGAGATTATGAACTAAAAAACAAGACCTAGCTGCTCAAAAGAAACTTGTTTCAACTCTAAGGAAATACGATCTGAGAAAATGGAGGATGGTCTAGGAAAACGGAACAAGCTCTACGAACATGGAAGCTAAAAAAAAAAGTAGGAACAGCATTATGGCTATCAGAAGAAAAAGTTTTTTGTAACATTCCATCCAACAGCTGCAGAACATGCACTCTTCCCAAAAGCACACGGAAAATTCTTTAGTGCAGATTACATAGTACGGCACATAGCAAGTTTCAAAACATCTTTTAAAACAGTTAATACTGAGTATTGTTCTGTAAGAGTTATGTTTTACATCAATAAGTTCAATTCAGACAAAGAATTGACAGACATCGCCACCACTTTAAGAGCAAGGGCATTATAAAAACCCAAAGAATGGCATATTCTGATCAATTACGTTTATGCTTACTTCTTTTTCTTTAAGTAAAGCTTCATGTTTTTCTTCAAGTCGCTTCATTTCAAATGCCAATGTGTCTGCTCTTTTGGATTCAGAGGAAAGTTTGGTATGAAGATCCTGAACCTTTTGCCCAGAAAAAAAAGGAAAACAATAGTATGCAATATTAATAGTCTTTCAAAGCTGGGTACATCATAAAACTAAACAAATGTCTATACTAAATTAGTCTCATTTTAGTCTCACAGATTGACAAAAACCACAGCCTGATAATATTTAATAAATACACATAATACTCAATTAATAAGGCCCCCAAACCTCTTATTTGATATTTCTCTGGATTATTTGATAATAGCAAAGCAAAATATCTTAGGCTATAATTTCATTCTCTACATATATATTACCAGAAATGCTAATAAACAATAAAATCTCAACACAACAAAAAAAGCTCAAAAAAGAAAAATGTAGGGCCCAGCATGATAGCATAGTAGTTAAAGTACTCACCTTGAACACACCAGGATCCCATATGGGGGCCGGTTCTAATCCTGGCAAACCTGCTTCCCATCCAGCTCCTTGCTTGTGGCCTGGGAAAGCAGTTGAGCACAGCCCAAAGCCTTGGGACCCATGTGGGAGACCTGGAAGAAGCTCCTGGCTCCTGGCTTTGGATTGGCTCAGCTCCAGCCATTGTGGCTACTTGGGAATCATTGGACAGAAGACCTTCCTTTCTGTCTCTCCTTCTCTCTGTATATTGCCTTCCAATAAAAATAAATAAATCTTTAAAAATAAACAAAAATGTAAAACAACAAGATTACTCAAACCAGTGATCGAAGTTTAAAATAACAGAGTAGAGAAATTAATCAGAATAAGTTCATAATTTATTATACAGAATTCTTAAGTTCTACAATACTCTGAAAAGATGCAAGGGAATAATAAAGCTGCACTCTTAACATTATTCAAAATTCAGTCTTTTTCTTACCTGCCTTTTGTATGTTTCCAACTGTGTACGGGCTGCATTTGCCTTCTTTAATTCTTCTTCTAAACTGACAGTATTATGCATGTACATCATATTTGTTTCCTGTAAAGTTTTCACCTGCTTTCGAAGGTCATTTAGGTCTTGTAGCTTCTGACGATAAATCTCAACAGTGGACTCTAATTTATTGGCTTTATCTGAGGTAGCTCTATAATAACAAAGACCGCACATGAGAAATCAGTGTATACACAGAGCAATTTTATTCTGGCTACAAAATTGAACCTTCTAACAAAACAAAAGCAAGGAGAGAGCTAGAAGTTAAAATTGCAAACTGAGCACAGCCTTAAGAAAACAATCTAAAATTCAACTTTTTTAGATAGCCATCAAAAGAAAAGGGCTTTAAATTTAACACACTGGAGGAATCAAAATGTCTCATATGTTCATTGCATAAAAATGTATTAAAGCATAGAAAAAGTACAGGAAAATTATTGTTTGCATAAAACAATAATTCCGAGCTTTGCTTTTAATCTGGTATTTAGCATAGTTTTGTACTCAGCATTTGATATGCTTTAGATGACTCAATCTGTGAATCTGTCAGGCAAAGCATTTATCTGACCAACTGGACTGAAGCAAAATCAATACACAAATAAATAAAAACACTTCACTATCACAGGCAGCTTTGAATTAATGGGTATAAAGATTCAAACATCTATGAACAATGGAAAAAATTTTAAATATTACTATGAAAAAATAATAGAAAATACAAATATTTGGCTAGTCTGTTTACTAACACAGAGCCAAAAGTTAAATCTCATTTTGGTGTTAATAGTTCTAGTATGAAACTGGTCCTAAGCCACAACAATACATTCATCAAACTGTAATTTCATCAATCTGTATAAAAGAGGTAAATATGAGGTGCCTGGATAAAACTGACCAATGTCTGGAACAAAGGAGCAACTCTATGAAGCTAGTCAAATGCCAACACCCAGAGTGACTAGGTAGCAAGGAGCAGTGATGGAATCGTGCTTACGCAAGCCATACCTAAGAACATCGATTTCATCTTTCAGAGCTCTTGTTTCTTCAGCAAGACTAGTCAACTCATCATTCCTGTGCTGAAATTCAATCAGCTGCTTTTCAAGTTCTTCACAATGAATGCGATAATCATCTTTTGCAGCTTCAAGCCTTGAGCAATGAAAACAAATAAGCACTTACAATGCAATTTCCACCATTGGTTTTCCTTTTGGAACATGGCCTTATTAACGGGAAATAACACCTATAAAGATTTTCCTTCTCTGTTTTTAAGTATTTTTATGATGTTGAGCCTACTGACCCAATGGTAACAGATATATATATCTCTATTTATTTTAAACATTTTTGGCACCAATCTTCAGTTACACTTAAATATTTCACTTGAAAAACTGAAATCCCTTTTATTATATTTCTCATTTTTAAAAATATTAGGTTAAATAAGCTAGACAGAGAATGGCAAATATCACATGTTCTTCCTCACCTGCAGAAGCTATATCATTCACTCTTAACCCAAGTCTGGGAAGGGAAAGGCAGACGAGAGGGAGTCTGACTTCCAGTTATCAAATCCTAGCAAGAGTGAACGAACAAGGTCCTAGTGTTATACAGAATAAGGAGGTGGCTTCAACTCACGGTAATCTATCACATCTGTTTATGAAAAAAAAAGAAAGGCAGCCCAAGGCGCAAATCACAAAGCTGCTTTTCTAATTCCACTTTGAAAGACAATAACTGAAGGGATAAGACACTTTACAGCATTTAATCTTGAAACAAAAAAGAGAAGTACACTCAATGTTCTGAATTATTACTTCCAGGTAGCAACACTGCTTAATCTCTACTTTTTTTAAGATTTATTTTTATTTTTTATTGGAAAGTCAGATATATAGAGAGGAGGAGAAACAGCGAGGAACGTCTTCTGTCCGATAATTCACTCCCCAAGTGGCTGCAATGGCCATTGCTGAGCCAATCTAAAGCCAGGAGCCAGGAGCTTCTTCTGGGTCTCCCATGTGGGTGCAGGGTCCCAAGGCTTTGGGATGTCCTTGACTGCTTTTTCAGGCTGCCAGCAGGGAGCTGGATGGGAAGTGGGACTGCTGGGATTAGAACTGTCACCCATATGGGAGCCTGTTTAAGATGAGGGCTAGGCCCTTATTCTGTACTTCTAATTGAAATTTCAATTTAAAATGATAAGGAAAAATCTAAGACACATGTGATAATTGTTGAAAGATAAGCTGTTGAAGGAATATTGGTCCATTAAGGACTTCCTATTGACCAAAATGTGAGACAATTTGGGATTCAAGAAAAACTGACAATAGATGTAAGCTCTGTTCAATAAGAATCCTTGATTTGGGTGAGCATTTGCTCCAACTGCTAAGATACTGTTTAGAACAAGGAATCTCAAGAGTGTCCGGCTGGAGTCCTAGTTCCCTTCCGGTCCCAAACTCCTTCTATCACATTGGGAAACAACAGTGATTCCCTGCTATTCCTCCTCGGAGACTCAAACTGAATTTCAGGCTCTTGACTTCAGCCTGAAACAATCCTAGCCGGACGCTGTAAGCATCTGGGCAGTGAACCAACAGATGGAAAGTCTCTGCCTTTCCCCCTTTCTCCTTCTCTCCTTTCAAATAAAGTGAAAATAAGTAATTTTTCTAGTTAATACAAATTTTCATTATTAAACACAAAGCACAGTCAGGAATTAGATTCTGGGTAAGGATTCAAGCGATAAAAGACATTGAGCTTAACTAATGGAATATAAATGTGGTCTGCAGACAACAACATTGTGTCAACGACAAGCTTCCCAGTTGTGCTCACTATGTACCAGTTTATAGGGGAATGCCCTTGTCCCGGGAGTCAGGCACTGAAGCTGTCAGGGGTAAAGAACATGTCTCCAACTATCCTGCACTGGTTCAGAAACTACATCACAGACTGCTAATAAAAATGAAAAAGTGCGAAATAACTGCTGGGAAAGCACAAAGCACATGAGTTCCTAATCCTGTGCCTTGTTCTATCATTTCAATTTTACATAAATATTCCAACTGTCTAGCAACAATTACATAATCAGTGTCCTAAACACATAACAATGCCTAAAAATCAGCTGTTGATATCATAATCCTTAGGTACTATGCATAATAACATAACACTTAGTTCAGTGCAACATTAATAGTTAACACGAGTGATGCTACCTGAAGTTTTCTTCCTGTAATTGTTCTAGTTGTAACTGGGCATGAAAATATTTTTTTGCGACCATTGTATTTGGATCATCGAAAGAGCCATCCATCTGATCGAGTTTTTCATTCATCATCTCATTCTCAGACACCAGTGAATTCTTTTCATCTTGGAGTGCAGTCACCTAAAAATCAAACACACAAATAGAAGCATCCAAATATCTTTAATGTCTAGAGTTTTGTATTCTAAATCTGACTACACCTTTAAATTGCTAGGCCAATCAGACTAGATCATGTGTAAGGATCTTTACAAGCCTGGAATTCAGAGTTCAGAAGGTTTGTGTCAAACAAAAGAAATAGATACATATATATGAAGAACTCCACGTACAACTACCTTTAAAATGGTATGTTTGTCCTCATTTGGAGAAGAAAGTGGTTCTAAGTCTCTAAAATTTGACTAGCAAATCGAAATTTGAAAATTTAATGAGCACTCTTAGGCATGGACTAAATCTAAGAATGCTGCTCACCTACTACCAAACAATACTTAGATAAAAAGTCATTATTTTAGTTTCATACAGAAAATTTTCAGTCCTACATCACATATTTGGGAGACAACAGCTTAATGAATCCATAATAAAAACCTAAATCATTCCCATTTGTACCTTGAAGCTATTAGTGATTTAAGTGAGCAGGAGCAGGCATTTGGCCAAGTGGATAATACTCTGATTTGGAATGCCCATACACCATATTGGAGTGCCTAGGTTCAACTTTCAGTTCTGAACCCAATTCCAACTTTTCGCTATATGTGCACCCTTGGAAACAGCAGGTAATTGCCAAAGAGTAGGGTCCCTGGTACCCACATGGAAGACCAGGATTGGGTCCCCAGTTTCTAGTTCAGACTGGCCCATCTTTGGGCCTTTGTAATCATTTGGAGAACGTAAAAGCAGTCAATTATGTGTAAAATCACATCAATGTCAAGATACAACATATATATATTCCTTTCAACTAAAACTGAGGAAGTATTATTTCAAATAAGCATTAGCCCTGAGTTCTATTTCTTTTCCATTTAAAAATTACAGCTAAGATTGTGAAAATTTACAAAGGTACAAGTTTGCTACGATCAATTCATGTCCCTCAACACAATAAAATTAAAACATGGTCTGCAAATAAGGAATCCAATAGCTGAAGACTGCCTTTAAGCAGAAAATTTAAACAAACAGCCTTCTGTTCCTAAATTCAGAGTATACTTGTTCTGTAAGCAACCTAGTTTATTTGTCATGAATAATAATTCTAAGTGATCCAGATTCAAAATAAGGAAGAGTTTCTGCCTTCCTGACCCTAGCAACAGAAATACAAATACATAAGAGATGTTGAGAAAGAGCATGCCCTTGAATTGACCAGGGCCAGGCATTAATTATGAAGTGCCTCTGCAAATTACTTGACTGAATATTCACTAAACACACCATGATGTAGAAACAGATGTAAAAACTGAGCCCTTATTTCAGTAATGGAAATTCTGAAGTCAGCAGAACAATTTTCTCTAAGAGACAGGTCAGCAATTTTTCCAAAAAGAAATATAAAAATGTAAGAATATAAGAAATACAAAAAATATAAGAAATGTAAAAGATCCATGATCAAATACGGACGTTTGTAAGAAACCTCTTAAATGGGCCCTTAATCTGTGAAACACAATATCAGATAATTCATTAAAGCAGATTTACCAAGCTTTGTGGTGCAGCAAGTTAAGCTACAGCTTGAAATGCCAACACCCAAAACCAAGAGTGCAATTGGCTACTCTGTTTCTGATTCAGCTTCCTGTTCATGTGCCTGGGAAGCCAGTGGATCACGGTCCAAGTGACTGGATTCCTGCTAGGTATGGGGGAGACCCAGTTAAGAGTTACTGGCTTCTCACTTCAATCTGGCCCAGTTCCAAATGTTGGGTCATTTGCTAAATGAATGAGGAGATGGAAAACTTCTCGCATTTAATAAGGGAATGAGCAGAGGGACAATCTCTTGCTCACTCTCACTCTCTCTCTCTGTGTTTCTTTCTGTCATTTTGCCATTCAAAAAACAAGCATTTTAAAAAATACTTAGCAAATATAAAGAGGCAATATTTTTTATCTCCATCTCTTTCCCATACCTGCATATCCAATTCCTGGCATCTCTGCCTCAGCTCTTCTTTTTCTGCTAATGCTTCCTGAAGTTCTTCCAAGGCCCTTTTAAGCTGAAATATAAAATGAACTCATTCAAATCACATCTTGATACAAACAGAGAAAGCTGTTCTTCATGTAACATACTTACACACTGAAAATTGAAACCGTTTTATAATTCACCTTTTAACAGATGAGCCTTTGCTGTTCTCTAAGTATGAATTAGCTACTGCTTCATCAATATTTAAAGCTACAATCGCACAGAAACAAAATTTTATTTAATGCCTTGTGAAATAATTTAAAATGTATTGCAAGTGGCATTATTTATTTTAACACCCAAAATAATTAGAACAAACAAGCTGGCATCTAGACAAAATTGCCATGAAATGAATGTAATTTGAAATACTTCTTGAGGTGACTGATGACACTCGTGAAAAATTATAAGCAAAAGTATTTAATGTATTGACTTCTGTATTGGAATTAAAGGAGCTGGGAGTCCAGGACTATTTCTACATCTCATCCTCCAGAACTCAAACAACCACATCAGGCAAATATAAAACTTCGTGGGACTTTGAAAACTTTCTATGACTTAACTGCATAACCATCTTGCATGGGCCAAATACGTATTATAGGTGTCAGAAGGAAATGCCAGAATTTCAGTGCCACTCAAATCCTCAAGCATGATCACAAAGAGACCAAACGTAAGTGCAGTCATGAATGAATGCACGGAATACGTAGGGACATTAAAGTGAGATCTTACAGCAGAACACATTAAGTTTCAAGGATGAAATAATCTGTGCACCTGCCCTCTCCCACATGAGCCTTCTGCCGGTAAAGGAACCCAGACACATTGTGCTCAAGTACTGAAATGCTCACCTGTTGCTCTAATTCTCCAACAGCATCATTCGTAGATGCGTTCATTATTTCTTTACTCATCAGCTGGAAAAGCAAAATTAAGGATAATAATGTGATGCTTATGAAATTATAAACTTTTCATTCAATTATTCTTTATAACTGTTGTTTGCATTCCCCTTAACCTATGGTATTTTTGGATTTTTATTTGGCAAACGTCCTATTCAGCACATTGTTAAGGTTTTTCACTGAATTGTAAATATAAATTACATCATCTCAAAAACAAGAAAAAGGGGTGGAAAAGAGCTCATGAAGGAGGAAAGAAGCGAGAGAAGAAGGAGGTATCAGTGTGCTCTTAGAATTTAAAAACTAGTATGAAAAAGTTTAAACAATTAAATTGAAAGGACAATAAAGTGATCTGTATTTAGCATTCCCTTGCTTTAGCTTGATGATTCTAAACACAACATTCATATAAAAATTGTACCAGAGGTTTAATAAAAATAAAAATGCCTAATGAGGACATTATAAGTAAACTATGCTTGAAATATGCAGATATTCACAGTAGTTATATACCAAAAATTATAAACCATTAATATAAGCCATACTGCTGAATAACACACAACACATTAAATAATTTTAGATGAATCATCAGTAGCACAAATTTACCTGTGAAATGACAAAACTGTTACTTTAGGAAGTCATTTTAGTAACAGGAATTATATGAAAAATGAACCATTTAAAATAAGTTTTTTGCACATGAAAGGCAAACTTACTCATATACAGTAATGCTTCTAACCCAAAACACAAACATTAACTCAGAGCATGGGCGACTGAAGCCCTGTGCTGTCTCTGAAGCCCCTCCTTACCCAACTGTGCAATTCTTCTCTTGGCTGGCCCTCCAGTCTCCTCTACATCCTCCTCTCCTGAGCCACACATCCTGAATCCTTCTGGCTCAGTACAGATCATTAGACTAACCAAAACCCACGTTACCTGGCTCTGAGCCCTAAGCAGCAGCACATCTGGTCCAATGACCTAACATTCTAAACATTCATATACCATATGTTAACTACAGTCTCAGGAAAGTCTGCCCTGATCGGGAGAGAAGGGAGCAGAAATAAAAACAAAAACACTCAGAGGTTATTTATATTGCTTTTCTGGTTTAGCTGATACTATTTAAAGGAATATGACAATATCAAATTACCAACCGCCTTTCAAAGTGTAGAAATACTGAAAATAGGCTTGAGCGGCTTCTGAGAAATTTTGCAAAAAAATTTTTAAATCGCCAAAAATTGAGACAAATCATTCAAATTTGTTCAAACGGAAAAAAAAGCCAACAGCATACAAAGAAAAACAAACATCTATAAAAGGTAAAAGGAAAGTTTTACAAAATTTTGTTTAGGGTTCTCGTCCTTATTTGAACCAGACATAACTTACCTCTTGAATAGCAGTCATGACCACATGTTGAACAGACTCTTCCAGTGTCATTATTTTTTGAATATGTTCTATGGGTGAAAAAAAGTCACATCTGAAAAAAAATCTACTTTTTACCCATAGTATCTTAGCCATTAAATTAACAGAATGTAAACATTCACCACAGACACTATGCTGCATTATTGTTTCACAACATGTCCACTGAAGAGAAACAAGCAGACTAGAAAACATATTGTTCCTATAGAAGAAGCCTTGGTTTGTTTTTTTTTTTTCAAATAAGAAAGTGTAAGGTAGGCTGTGAATCTAAAGACAATCAGGACAAGAGCTGCAGGTGTAGTTTTAGAACCAGGGAGCTCCACTTTATTGAGCAGGAAGCTCATTCCTGGGAACACCAGCTCTGCATGCAGAGTTTTACCACACACCCACGAGCCATGAACAAAGGGATTCCGCCTTGGCATTAAGGGGGATGGGAGTGTCCCATGAGAAGGAGCACACCTTGTATCTGCAGACTTAAAATTATGTCCAGGTATGTCTAATTAAAATTATTTTTCTAAAAGGTTAAGGAGTTACTATGTTCCAACCCTTTTTGTAATTGATTATTCTCAGAAATTTCTAAAACGTTCTCCAAATCTTCCTTTAATTGGTGAAGTTAAGAACAGGAAACTGTCTAATAAATGCTGGTGTGTACCTGGTCACTGAGTGGGAAAACATGAATTAACTAGAAAATGCACAGATACTGCAGCAATATCCTCCAAGGCAGTTTCTGGATGCTGGGATGTTACCCGATTGAAACTTTCATAAAAATCACATGCTCCACCAAAACTAAGCAAAGCATTGTTAATCAAACAAGATCATTTTTCCAAGGTTGAGAGTGCTGAGGTATCTTACAATGATTTTAAAAATTAATTCTCAATGCAAAGTAGAAGTGGAATATATTCTAGATGTGTCTTGGTTTTAAATTTTAAATCAATTACAAATAACCTTTCCACTTACCTATTCATAATCAAAAATGAAAACTCACTCATATACCCCTAAAAAAATTCAATTATATGGCCCTGCTTATTTTTGTTTTTATTTTATTTTAAAGGTAGATTGACAAAAAGACAGATATGGCATTGAGTGGTTCACTCCCTAAACAATTCTCAACAGCTGCCAATTAAGCCAAAACAAGTAGGGAAGCTGAACTCGACCCAGGTTTCTCATGTGAGCAGGAAGCATCCGACTACTTGAGCCATCGCCTGCTGACTACCAATAAAAGTCAATGTATCTCTTAGCAGCAAACGGGAATCAAAAACAAGGGCTCAAATCCCAGACACCTGAAAAGTTGTATATCCAAAAATTATCTTTTTTTAAGACATGAAGACAAAAGTGCTTAAGGCTGCTTAGAACGAAACCATGAAAGCACTACCTATACCAAAATTTGTAGAACACTTTAAAATCATCATCTTAAGGGAAAAGTTTAGCTTGAAGTTTTAGTCAATTATTGCTTTGAAGAGAAAAGTTGATTTCATAAGCAAGAGAAAAACAACAAAACCCAAAAACCTAAAGATAAAATCAAATCATAACCAAAAAGCAGTAGTACTAAAAAAACCCCAAAAAATTTAACAAATCAGACAGATCAAGCAGAAATAAGTTAAAAATCATAGAAAGCAATAAAAACAAAATAAAAATATTAAAAAGTATCACAATTATAAGAGAAAATAATTGGATTTATAAGCAAGTTACTAGTTGCCAATTTAACATTAACTATTTATGGAAGTTTTAACTTTCTATGAGCAAATGTCACTCACTTTAATATTTAAGGAAAATCTAATATCTTTGCCATTATTTATTAAGTGAAAAACAAAACCCTACAGAAAGCATAGGTTTCACCTGCAGAAAAACACGCTAGCTAATAACTGAAATGGACAAATCTCAGGATTTTCCAATGCCCAATCCTTATGCCTCGCTTACAAGATGAATTACAACTGATTTCACTTGTCCTAATATTTCCTTTTCTGAATTTGTTTCTATACAATCTGTCTTGTTTACATCCTTTCTCCCTTAGTTGAATGGTGTTGACTAAGTAATTGAAGGTCGCCTGGCTTGAAGTATTTTTCAAACTTAAGAACACAACACTCCTTTTCCAAAGTCTACGTTAAAAAAAAAAAAAACCAACAACAATCATCAACCTGAGGGGAATGTGGATCTGTTCAGTTCATCACCTTATCAATGACAAATAATCAAAAATGAGCTTCTTTGCATTCAGCAGGATGTGGATCCCTAAGTCTGTGTTTAACAATGTAATGCAGAAACTTTGTTCACATTTATCAGGTATTCCTCTGAAAGCAGACTAGATTTTACTTCAGAAGCTGAATATTTATGAATAACTGAATCAATTTCATGGTCTACCTACATGTAAAATAGGTGTGGCAAATAAATAGGTACATTATTGGTTCAAAACCCACTAACTCCCAAGAGCTAGCTGTATTAAACTGAAATAGACTCAAATGTACTTAGCCACTGAATATGAATCTAAGAGTCCAGGAACACATGGAATATTAAAAATCTATTTCATTTAAATGGAAAATATGGGCTAGCATTTAGATCTGCTTTACAATTCAGAGTGCTTTCTGCCAAGCTGTAATAGTATATTTTAATGCTACCTTGTATATCACTATAAGTTGTTTCTGGAAAATGGAAATCATCAAAAGACTGAAACACACTTACCTTGTTTCTTTTCACAGTTGACTGCACAACCTAAAATAAGCTGGAGCAGCCTCCCCAGCTCCGCAGAATCAGAACATTCAGTTATTTGATTTAAGTCAGGAATAAGCTCTTCAGAAATCTGCTGCCCCAAAAACTGCAACAACAAAATAATAAATCAGAGCCTTCATATATGTTGGTTATATAGATTTCACTACATTTAATTATCAAAAGGAAAAAAGATTATAAATACAGGTTTATGTGACAACTCAAACAAATCAACAAATGCCAAGTCAGTCAAATCCTTCCTAAACTTGCTTCGGGTTTTGCATTAAGTATCCTTAATTCCACCGTCAGAAAGCCAGATCTTCTTAATGTAAGTACCTAGTCAAGTCTGCTGTGATAACACTTATGACCTTCCACTACAGAAAGACCAGGCTTATGCTAAGTCAAAATGGACTAAAAACACTTTGATACACATACATATGGTGGAGTAATAGAGAAGCACAGTATAGAGCATTGCAATTTTACAAATAAACAAATCCAGTGAGCTAATTTTCCTGTCTTATCTCTCATTTCTTAATTTAACTTATTAACAAGATTCTTAGCATTAAAAAAGCTTGAAAATTATTAGTCATTAATGAATTGAAAAATATCCAATAATATTAAAAAACGTTTTAAAGAATAGGTAAGCTTAATTGTATGACTTCAAAAATTAAAAAAAAATTTAACTGCAAAATCTATTCAAAAGTCTCCAATCACTAAACAATAAAGTTTTCTATAATATAACCCTAATAGAAAATACATTATGATGCTGTATGAGAAAAAAATCAAACTACCATTCTGTAATGTGATGAACACTAGCCTGTCACATTCACAGGTGCCTAAGCTGTGAATTCAACCAAGAATCAAAAAATTATTTTAAAAGAATCATTTCTTTACATGTAACAATTATATAGAAACCCAGGCATTCAAAGGGATTCCAAGAAGTCCATGAAGTATATAGCTTATGAAAAAACTATGATGGAATTTCAACAATTTCTGCAACAAAGAAAACTTAAAATTTGTTTTCCAGATCTTTCTGAAGTTTCTGCATGTGCAAATGTTGTATTACTTTGTATAATGGAATTGGGAATCTCAAAATGTTGATATCCATAGGAAGTCCTGGGGCCTATTCCTGGGGATAAACACCAAGGCATAACTCTATTTGATAAAATAAATGATCCAAAGATCATTAATATACAATGTTATTGTACAAATCATCACATCTAATTTGAAGCCTAATTTCACAAAATCTGAATGTTTAAAATTGTCAATAAAATATATTCCAATTGTGAATTATTTTGCTGTAAATGGTCATCAAAGAAAAGCCTACCCATTTTTCTATGACAATATAACTATCATGTAACATGTTATATTTAATTAAGGTCAGTTATTTTTCATACCTCATGGTAATAACTCATAATTCCTTGAAGGACCTTCTTTAAATTACTAGCCTGAAGTTGAAAAAAGAATAAGAAATATATTATTATTTCATAATAAAATTAAATTATGTCAATGTGAAAGACAAGAAACTTTCCCAATAAAAATGATACCACAATTACTAGAGTTCTATAAGTAATAGCAAGTGGCATGTTTTCAAATACCAGTGATTTAATCACTGTTTGATTAACTAAGATAACTGTACTTAAAGTGAGTCACAATGAATTCAAGGGCCTGTGCTAACACTTGATTCTGAACATGTCCACCTCCAGAGATCAGCAGGTTAAGATTCATGTGCTTTTTTTGCCAACAATAACTAGCAGGTAAGACAAAATATTAAAAAAAACTTTTTTTCCAAAGCTCTACACAACGGGAAGTACAAAATTCTGCTTTCTAGAGGAGGACTGGGGGTGGAGGGAAGACTTCCGGCTTGAGGCAATGATCTGGCCCTGGCACAAGGAGCCGGAAATGAGACAAGGCCTGATGTTCTCACCGAGCTGAGGAGACACCTGGAACAGCTCAGGAAGGCCAACCAGGGCACACGAATGGAAGAAGCCATGGGGAAGAAAGAGTTCGAAAGTGGTGTAATGACATCTTTGATTCTATAGTAGATGCCAATTTGCAGGCGCATAGGTGAAAAAATTTTTTTCTGAACTCAGGAAACAACAGTCCAAAGAACTAATAAACCGAAACTTCAAACAGCAATTTCAACTATAAGCTTAAACTTACAAAGATAAAGAAACTTTTGAAATTCCTACTATTAAGACAGAAGGGATGATGCTCTGTGCAGGAACCGTCCTCTAAAGACCCCTCAAAAATTACCACCCAGTAGAGAGCTTCTAACTAAACCCAAGAGGAAAGAGTAACTGATTTGCCTCCTAGGGAAGCCTAACAACAAGCTTTAAAAGGATCACACGGATTAACTGCCTGCAAGAACAAAGTCCAACTTTCTGGAAGGAATATAAAAAAATACAACACTCCATAGTCATATCTAGCTTCTAAGTTGAAAAACTACTACTCATGAACAGGACATATGAATTACAATGAGAAAGCTAAACAACAGATCACTCATTAGCATATCGCTAGCATAATAATAGTTAAGAACAACCAGTGTCCACAGATTAGACAAGCTATGTAAAACAAACATTTGACAACTACAGCAAAACTGACTTAAAAAATACACAGGTTGTCAGTTTCGTTTAAGTATAAACAATTCAGCAATTCAACCTGGTAATTTACTCAAAATAAAAACATTTCTATAGACTCATATTTGAAACATCATTATTGTATTCACAGCAGCTAAAAACAGAAACAATTCAAGTATCTTCAGTGATGAACTAAACAAATGCTGATATATCAATGTAATAAAATGTTACATAGAAAAAATTCATAAACACGCTGAGTAAAAGAATTCAAACTGTGTATATAATATGGTTTCATTTATGAGACATTCTGGAAATTAAATCTACAGTGATACAAAACATCTGTGGTTGCCCAGGCTCAGGTTGGGGATGAACTGGGAGGGGGCCTGTGCATGCTTTCAATTGATGGAAATGTTTAACATCTTGGTAGGATGCTAAAAGTGCATGAGAACATACGGGTATGTCAAAAGTCAAACAATACACAAAAAATGCACCTGCAAATTTACTCTTTTAGAAAATATTTAGTGTTAAATTTAAGACTACTATTTGAATCCTTTTTCTCCTACTATTTTGCATACCTTTATTCTCCGATTGTCCCCAACATCCTCTTTAATTCGGCTTAACCAAGATTCATTAAACCAAGCTACATCACTAAAAACAAAAGGGAGAATGCTGAATATTAAAAATCTTTAAACATAAACAATACAGAAATAAATGATTTAAAAAGTTACTTCATACTTTAAAACCTGGGCTTACCAAGAGGGGAAAGAACTTACTTAAATGAACCCAATAGATTTTTCATGATTCTCAAGAATTTAGCTTAGAATCTCTCATATTTAACTACAGAAGTGATTACTGACCTCTATAAAACAAAAAGTTACTGATTATTTAATTGTAGGCATACTGCTATCAAAAGGTATAAAAGTTCCAATAGTTAGGATTAAAAAAACAGTATTTAATAACTATTATATATGAATAATGTGTGCTTCATGTTTTTCCATGATACTCCACTTCAATATAGTAGCACCCTAACAGAGATTATCCAGGGAACTGGGCACACGAGGAGCTGACACTAACACATGGCAAAGTCAAAAGAAATCTATTTGAGTAGAATGAACTTAACTGAGAAATCTGCAAAGACAAGTTCAGTTTTACCTGGTAAACACCTAGTTTATTAACTATTAAAGATCTAAAAAAATCACTATGTGAAATTTCTCTGCAGTAATTGTTTTGTTTTGTTGAGAGCATGAGAGACGAGTTCCTATTCACTGGTTCACACACTGAATGCCAGAAATATCGAGGGGTGGGCCAAACCAAATCTGAGAGCCAGAAACTCAATCTGGTTGCTCCACATCAGTGGGAACTCAATGACCTGATGCATTGCACTACCACACAGGATGTATATTATAGTAGGCTAGAATGGGAAGGAGGGCTGTTGAACCAGGACTTGAACACTCACATTCCTGTCTCCTTAATAAGGTTTTCAGTAACAATATCTGGCAATGCATTGTGAATTATATTAATACAAAATATTCTAAATAATTGGATGCTTGCTATATGTAAGGAATTGAGCAATATTAATGTAAAGAGAAATATCTTAATCACAGAGAAATAGCCATTATATGAATAAAATAGAAAGTATAATCGACACTAAAGAATCTGCTAAATCCTCTGAACAGTCATAAAATTTCAGTTTTAGCTAGAAGTTGTCATAAATGTCCCTTCTAAATGTTTATTTTATAGATAATATAACTAAAGTTGGGGGGCAGAGATCTTTTCGAAGGATGCATCTTGAAATTTAAAAACACAGACAGAAACAATAAAACTATAGTCTAGTGCCTCGCTTTTCAGGTTTCATTCTGCCTTAATTTAGAAGTCATCATTCTGGTTAAGGTAACTAAGAACAATGCCTTCCCCATTTTCAATTCATTTATTTTGACCTTAGAAGCATTTTCTCTTGCGCAAATTAATGTTACTTGTGTTCAACTTTTCCCAGAAAAGGCGACAATCATCAAAACAATTTAGCTTGATGCAGAAGTAATATGCTGCTACACAAGTGTTTACCAGAAATGACTGCACTGAGTTAGCTAATGATTCAAAACTATCAAAGTAAATTTACCTTCCTTTTACATCAGATTAAATAATGGAAAGCCCTGAACAAAAGATATCAGGTGGGATGACTAATTTTATGTGTCAACAGAGATAGGCCATAGTACCCAGATAGTTACATATACAGGGGTGCTGCTGTGAAGGTATTTTTTTCTGTTTTTAGAAAGATGCACATTTTTACCAGTAGAATCTTACTGTCAGTGGATGGGTCTTATCCAAAACTCAGGGCCTCTCCCAGACACAGCCAGCTGCGGTAGTCAACCTTGCAACAAGAGTGTTTCTCTCAGCTGTGCAGCCTGCTGGCTGAGCCTACAGGTTCTGGGCTCACTATCCTCTAAAACCCGTAAAAGGATTCACTGTGTGTGTGCATGTGTGTGTACATGCATGTTCCTCTAAAAGGATTCGCTATGTGTGTGTTCCTCTAAAGGATTTGCTAGGCATGTGTAATATGTGCGTGCACACGCCTGCTAGCATTCATTCCTCTAAAAGAACTTGCTATGTATGTGTATGTGTGTTACTCTAAAATGACTTCCTAGGCATGTGTGTCTGTCTGTTCCTCTCAAAGGCCATGCTGTGTGTGTGTGTGTGTGTGTGTGTGTGTGTGTGTGTGTGTGTGTGTGTGTGTATGTGTGCATGTTCATTCTTCTCAAAGGAACTGCTAGGCATTTATGTGTTTTTCCTCTAAAAGGACTCACTCTGTGTGGGTGTTTTTCCTCTAAAAGGACTCACTGTGTGTGTGTGTGTGTGTGTGTGTGTGTGTGTGTTCCTCTAAAAGGACGCCCCATCCTCTGAAACGGCATGATCCATTGTGTGTGTGTGTGCGTATGTATGTGCATGTGCTGTTTCTTTAGAGAACCCCGTCTTCCCTCTAGAAACTGGGTTTACAGATAATCTGCTCTTGTTGTGGATTTTCTTAAGATAATTCCTCTTTACATTTTGCATTTTTTGTCTTGTTTCTGTCTCAAATCACCACAGCCCGGAGGAATACTTCTTCACTTCTTAACAATGTATCTCCTGGATTTTTTTTTTCTTTTAAACAAAATCACCTGCACCCACAATGACAGCCAATCTTTCACACTGTTCAACCTGATATTCAGTATCAAAAATCTATGAGTATATATATATTTTTTCTTTTGTATTGCCACTTCCACTTGCCTGAACCAGACTCCTGACCTGTATTTCTTCAGATTGTCAATGACTGTCAAGGAATAATACCAAGTAAGAAAAGGGTTATAGAACTAATGAAACAAAATACGGTTCAATTATTTTCTAATAAAGCTAAATATCATGACATGAATAAGTTTTCATTCCTCCCATAGTGTTAGTTAGATCTTCAGAACTTTTACCATCTGAGTTAATGGAGTTACTGATACCTAGCTCATCACTTTGGACAACACAGTTGTATGGCTTCAACTGACACTTCGGGGCTCCTCTTGATAATCAAAAAATCCTTCTTTGCCAAATACATAAAACTGCAATCTGTACTTTGGATATGCAAATATGGATGTTCATTTCTATTAATATCCTATAATAAAAACCTACCAGGAAGGGTTACAGTTTTAAGGATTGCAGCTGACTCAAAGCAGTAGCTCTGGAGTCAGAACAAACTAGTAGCAGGTCTCAGCTTTGCTATTTACTTATTATCTGACTCTCTGTAAGCAATGTCACTGCTCTTTGTCCACATTTAAAGTGAGGATAAAAATAATATCTATCTAATAGGGTAATAGAATTTAAATGAAATGACATGTATGGTCTCCACAATTATGTCTTATATATTAATATTTCAATATTTAGATATTAAATTATCATAGGTTATCAGCTTAAATGCTGACTTATCTGAACAAATAAACAAGTCATACTGGTTAAGGAGTCTGAATATTCTGCCTTCTGTCTCACTCATCGAAAGAAAGAAAGAAAGAAAGAAAGAAAGAAAGAAAGAAAGAAAGAAAGAAAGAGAGAAAGAAAGAATAAAAGAAAGAAAGAAAGAGAGAGAAAGAAAGAAAGGAAGGAAGAAAGAGAGAGAGAGAAAGAAAGAAAGAGAGAAAGAGAGAACGAAAGAAAGAGAAACGAATGGACGAACCAACCCAAAGTAACAGAAACAAACATACAGGTTATCTGGTGTTTAAAAACAATCAAGCCCTGTCTTTCAGGGAGGTGGCTTGCATTAGTTACAGTTGCTGTGAGTTCAATCTTATCCCCTACAAAGTCAAACCAATGATCTCTGTAAATGTAACCTTATTTGAAAATTGGTTTGCCACAGTTGTAATCAAGGTAAGATGTATTTTTACTAATTTGGACAGCCCTAGCCCAATTTCACCCGTACTCTTACAAGTGACTCAGGCACAAGTAGAGGTCATATGGCCAGGTGAAGATAAAGACAGCAGAGCTGCACTGTGACAGACTGAGGAATGCCTGGACTACCAGCAACTGGAGATGGCAAGGAGGATTCCTTTCCCAGGAACTTTGGAAGGAGTATAGACCACCCAACCTCCTGATTTAGGGCTCCTATTCCAGACCGTGAGAGGTTCTGCCAGGTGCACGGTACTTGGTTAGGTCAGCTCTAGGAAGCAGTTATTGCCCACCAGCTTCCTGTTCTTTCAATAACAGCAGCTTCTCCATGCTTTCCAAGAGTGCCATATATTACACACTCCAATGCAATTAAGGAACCTTAGAACCCTAGCAGTAACTCTGTCATCCAATTTAGGACATCACCTTCTAAGACTTTGTCATTTGGAAGCCTGCCTGCCTTGAGTAAATATAAGGCAAGAATGGCTGCTAAAATTACGCTTTGAAAAGCAATTTTCCTTTCTCATCTTAAGCTACAACTTCTAGTATGTGACTTGACATGACTTACCCTTGCCCAATACAGTGTTATAGACTGTAATATACAAAAAGGACCTTGAAATAGTCAAACAAATGTGGTTAAAATTTACCCTTTTAACAGGAAATATGATGCACTGACCTAATTAAGGGAAAGTCTTAAGACTCACTAATATTCAGATTTCCAACCAACTCCAAAACTGGAAAGCAGTGAAATGGAAAACAGGGGCTGGAATTGTGAAACAGCAACTTAAACTGCTGTTTACATGCTGGTGTTCCATACCAGGGTGCCAGTATAAGTCTTGGATGCTCTACTTCTATTCAGTTACCTACTAAAACACATGATAAAGCAGTGGGAGACAGTCCAAGTTCTTGGGCTCCCACCAGCTACACAGAAGTTAGCATTTCTCAGTTGGGTCTAGAACAGCTTTGACAGTTGTGGTCATTTAAGGAGTGAAACCAGAGGATGGAAAATCTCTCTCTATCTCCTATCTTTCAAATAAATAAATAAACGAATGAATATTTTTTAAAAAGTAAAATCCTTAGACTACAAGGAAATTTTGACATCCAAAAACATGTAAAAACTAGCCAAAGAAGAAAAATGGAGACTTGGGCCCAATTTAAGTAACCGATCATTTGTATAATGAAGAAAAAAGGTTTAGTGAGTGGTGCCTATTTCAATTTTCCTATAGAAAAACTACTGAAGGACAGCAATACACATGACTGGACAAAAAAAGACAAAGAGAGAACTTGTAAGAAGAGAATTCAACAGACTATAGAAAAATAAGTAAACTCAAAGAATTTAGCTAAAATTTCCCAGACCTGATTTGAGATATCAAGTATACAGTGCTACAGTAGAGGAGCTCAAAGAGCCACAGATACCTTACCAGGATGAAAATACATCTCTTTGATCAGACTGCAGTAAAAACATCTACCAAAACACACCAAAGTGACATCTTGTACGTATACCAACCAACCACAATATGGATACACCTATCTCAATACCTACAACATTTTAATGGGAATATAGCAAGGTATACACTCTGATGATAAAACCAACAAGTTTCCCAATTCATCAACAAAGGACCATGTTTCAGTTTCACCAAGTAATTCCATTAAAACGAACCAGAAATTAACAAAACATTTAAGAAATGTGGCACATGTGGTAGAGCATGTGATGTCAACATCCCACGTGGTCGCTAGTTCAAATCTTGGCTGCACTACTTCCAATCCAGCTCCCTGCTAATGCACTTGGGAAAGCAGTGGAAGGTGGTCCAAGTGCTTAGGGCCCTGAACCCAAATTGGAGTTCCAGATGAAGCTCCTAGCTCCTGCTTAGCCTGGCCCAGGCTTGGCTATTATAGCTATCTGGGGAGTGAACCAGCAGATGGAAGATCTCTCAATTTCTCAATATCTCTCTGCCTTCTTTCCCTGTAACATTTCCCTTCAAAGAAATAAATATACAAGAAAAGCAGGTGAGTAAGGCACATTTTAGAAAGGCAGTCTTCTGCCCCCTGCCCAAAGGCTAACAGATAAATTCTATAAGTTGAAGGGTTAATCTTGAATTACCCATAAACAGCTGACCAGCCAAAGCTGACTAGATCATCTATCTGAAAGATTTCAAGTAACTGGGATTTTGGTTTCATTTTAAGTTGTTTTTCTATGGATTACATAGGATTTTTATTAACCCATCTGCAGCTTTTCCAAGGCTAGTCACAGAAATGATTAAATAAACAATCTCAAACTATAATAAAATGACACATGTGAAAATAAAATTCTGGTCTGAAAATATGCTAATATAAACTCATTTTGATTACTAATCAGTTTTGAACACAGAAGTGGTCTTGTTTGTCCCACTAAAGGCGCAATTCATTGAATTAATCACAACCATAATCCTTGCACAATGTTTAGTAAATATTAGGAAACAATGAATTAAAGAGCTTTCAGCATATAAGACAGTTCTATTTTTTTTAAAAGATTTATCATTTTTTTATTGGAAAGGCAGATATACAGAGAGGAGGAGAGACAGAGAGGAAGATCTTCCATCCGATGATTCACCCCTCAAGTGACCACAACGGCCAGTGCTGCACCTATCCAGAGCTGGGAGCCGGGAACCTCCTCCAGGTTTCCCACATGGGTGCAGGCTCCCAAAGCTTTGGACCATTCTTGACTGCCTTCCCAGGTCACAAGCAGGGAGCTGGATGGGAAGTGGAGCTGCCAGGATTAGAACCGGTGCCCATATGGGATCCTGGCGCGTTCAAGGCAAGGACTTTAGCCACTAGCCCATGCCACCGGGCCCAAGACAAGTTCTATTAAGAACAAGTTTCTCGGGCCCGGCATGGTAGCGCAGTGGTTAAGGTCCCGCCTTGCACGCCCGGGATCCCATATGGGCACCGGTTCTAATCCCGGCAGCTCCACTTCCCTTCCAGCTCCCTGCCTGTGGCCCGGGAAAGCAGTCAAGGACGGCCCAAGGCTTTGGGACCCTGCACCTGCGTGGGAGACCCTGAAGAGGCTCCTGGCTTCGGATCGGCATAGTATTGGCCATTGTGCTCACTTGGGGAGTGAATCATTGGATGGAAGATCTTCCTCTCTGTCTCTCCTCTCTGTATATCCACCTTTCCAATAAAAAAATAATAAAAATAAATCTTCAAAAAAAAATAAAAAAGAACAAGTTTCTCTGGATTTTCTGATTCCACACTTCACTGCTTTACATTTTACTATTGATCAACTTATAATTACCACTATTAATTCAATAAACTGGTTTGAACATTTATGCTTCAAAAATTTTTGAAATTTGAATGTCCATGCACTGAAACCTTAACATGACAATAATGCAACTGGGAGAAATATTATAAACAACCCTATAATTCATTTAATATTTTTTTTACTGTTACTATACTCTCATGAACATACCAAGAACAAATTAACACAAAACCTCTTAGATAAGAATTCTAATCATTCCTTTAGTTAAAATGCACTTCTATGAATGAGTACAGAATAATGAGGGGGTAAACTCTTTGTTCCTTAGTTGCAAGAATATCTTGATACTATATGTTAGGAGAATATCAATGAACAGAATAAAGTTTCAATAACCTTCAGGATACAAGTCTAAGCTGCCTTCCTTGGCATTGTTTTCGCAATTCTTCTCAGGCCAAGTTCGACTGCCACTCACATTTGGTGAAGAACTTGGGCCATGGCAACTCCATTAGTCAGCTGTTTGACATCTTGACAAGGCGAGGCAGTCTTGAATGTCTGCAGCTGAAATTACATAAAGCAAATAACCTGAATGCATCTTTACACCAAATACATAAATACATGGAAACCAACTAGACACTGTCCTATGTCAGACATCTAAACAGAGACCTTCCCAGACAAATGGACCTATACTAATAAATGGATGCATAATATTGTTACAAAATTAAAAGCAAGATATTTAAAAGAATGCTTAAGTTAGAACACATGAAAGTCATGCTGAAGTATTTCCTAATTTAAGAGTATAAGAAAAAGCAAGATGTGGAATTACAGTTGCATTTTGTCTGTATTTAGAACATGGAAAAAAAAAACACTTAAAGGTAACTAGACATTTGCTAGTTAAAATTTCCTCATATTATCTGGTAGGAAAGCAAAGATCAGTAAAGTTTAAAATGTGACATCTAAAATGTCACTTAAAATTCCTTACTTTAGGGCCCGGCGCGGTGGCGCAGTGGTTAAGGTCCTCGCCTTGCACGCCCAGGATCCCATATGGGCACCGGTTCTAATCCCGGCAGCCCCGCTTCCCTTCCAGCTCCCTGCCTGTGGCCCAGGAAAGCAGTCAAGGACGGCCCAAAACTTTGGGACCCTGCACCTGCGTGGGAGACCCTGAAGAGGCTCCTGGCTTCGGATCGGCATAGCCTCGACCCATTGCGCTCACTTGGGGAGTGAATCATTGGACGGAAGATCTTCCTCTCTGTCTCTCCTCTCTGTATATCCACCTTTCCAATGAAAAAATAATAAAAATAAATCTTTAAAAAAAATTCCTTACTTTATTACTTAGCAGCCTTAACTCAACAAAGTTCTCTCCCATCACAATTTATATTGTGCTTTGACACTCTACAAATCCATTTTCATTATCTGAATATAATACCAAGAACGTTACAGGCAAAGTGAATGTAGACACAATTACTTCTAAAGCACAAAGAGATACTTTACTGAATTCCAATTCTCTACAGTATATATGCCATACACTGTAGAGCAGAAGAGGTTATAAAGGAAAATTACTTTAATGCCCTCAAAGTAATTTCAATCAAGCATGGCAAGGTTTTAAAAACAAAAAGACAAACAAAATCTAGACAATGTGACAAGCCCTAAGACTGTAGCAGTAACAAAACATTCTGAATATATTAGGAGACCCAATGAATATAATTAGACTTTGTATTTTGTAAAGACTTCTTGGACATTGCTGGATGGAAAGTCTCGTAGGATGAGTAGCATACTTTCTAATTAAGAGTTTGGTGAAAAAGCTGCAGGTCCATGAGAAGAGATGGTATTTATGGAAAACATTCACTTCAGTATCTTTGGATCTTTAATGCAAAGCATGGCAAAGGAGTTACAACACAAGATGTTACGGATATAGCAAGGGTCAGGAACCTGGACGACAATAAAGAGAAACCTGCAGCAGTGTAACCTTTAGCAGATGCCTGTATGATGGGAAATAACGTTTCTGGACCACGAGATGCAAAAGCAAATGCAATGGATCCATGCCTGGTGCATGGTGTGTGCCCAAGAGCTGTTAGTACATTAGCTAACAGGGCTAGATAGCCAGGGATTCTCACAGTGCAGAATGTGTCAGTTTCCAGACAAATCAGAAAGCCCTGATATGCATAGCAATTTGGGGAACCATTGCTTGGGTGATGAAAAAAAATCACAGGAGTGACATCTTTATTCAGGGGCAGTGAGGAAGCACTGACACAGAGCTGCTTTATGCATCAGCTAAAGAGAGCAATTCGGAGGACCCTGCGAAGGCCACATTAGCCAAAACAGACAGCCTACAGATAGACTGAGAGTTCAAATGTATTCAGGAATATTTAAAATATAAGCTAAGAACGGTTCTGCAGCTTGGTAGAGGTACAGGGAGAAACCTTGGACGTCTGAGCACCTTCAAAAGGATAACAAACTGGCTCTCTTTTCACACTTCCCATTTACACTTTCATGTGTAACTTAAAGTTAAGTGTCACTATCACAACTTCTATAATGACTGGTGGCTTTAGGAAGACAACTTTAGAGGCACAGAGTATTAGGCAAAACAGTAAAGACAGATGCATAAGGAGTTGCCTCCTTGCTGATCATATTCTGATTAAGATCCAATTCCTCCCCACGAGGTGTGGAGGATGCAACGCCTTAGAAGTTACTAAAATAGCTGCCAAATAAATTAGACAACACAGAATGTCATTCTGGTTGGCCAAACTGAAAGGCTTTATGCTAAGAACAGGGAAGGAGACCGAAGCAGAGAGACAAAGGGAGCACTCTCCCACCACTCTTCCCGGACCTGGAGAAGCAGGAGTCTACAGAGCAGCCCAAAGCCTAAAGCCAGGCCTTCCAAGCCGTCCATCACTAAACACGGCGCTCTGGCAAGTAGTCCTTCTACTTTCTTCTCTACTTTAAAATAAGGCAAATAATTTAAAGTGGGGAGTTGCTACTCCTCAACTGCTTCATTGTACATATGACAGAACTCAAGGAAGAAAGGGGCTTCCCAAGAGATAGCTACCTAAGACCCACTCTGGGATCAACTGCCTCCACACAGTCTCCTTTCTTCTTATTTCAGAAAGACAAGTACTAAACCTTCAGAAAAATATCTCATGGGTGAACATTTTGGTGGGGCATCCATCTGCCACAGAGGTTAAGCCACCACCTGGGATGCCACACTGTATATCGAAGTACCTGGCATGCTCAGCTCTGGCACAATGGGACAACTGGTTAATCCTCTGCCTGCAAGTGCCAGCATTCCATATGGCCATTAATTCATATCCTGGCTGCTCCATTTCCAATCCAGCTCCCTGCTTGTGACCTGGGAAAGTATAGAAGGATGGCCCAAACTTCGGGACCCTATACACACAGGGGAGATCCAGAAGATGTTCCTGGCTTTGGATAAACTCAGCTCTGACTGTTAAGATCAGTTGGGAAATGAGTCAGTGGTTGGAGATCTTTCCCTCTGTCTCTCCTCTCTACAAACCTTATCTGTCTTTCCAATAAAAATAAAATTTTAAAATAAATAAAATTTACATGCAGGCTCCCCCTTCTAATGTTCTGCTAATGTGCACCCTGGGAGGCAGCAAGTGATAACTCATAGGCTGGGATGAGTTTGGCCTTCCAGCTTTACCCAGCCCCAAATGCCTTGCCACTTATGAGTATCTGGGGAGTAAACAATGGATGCAAAGATCTCTAACCGTATGTCTGTCTCTCTAAGAAATAAAGCAAAAATTTTAAAGAATTCAATCTTTAAAAATTTTTTGACTGTACATTTGCTAATGCACTTTCCTTCACCTATCAGAAAACACAAAAACCAACAAAGCCACTAAAATCCATTTGATCCGACTCTGTAATTTTAATGCTGAATGTCCAAAGATATTAGGAAATTTCCAACCTTACAGAACTAAGAGAAGAAATTAAAACCACCTTCCTACAGAAGGGGGATTGTTGTATAGGGGATTAAGTCATCACTGAACAAGTCCACAGCCACAGCGTTATCTGGATCACATTCTAGCTCCTCCTACTTCCAAATCCAGCTTCCTGCTAGTGCATGCTGACCGGCTCAAATGCTTGGCCATCCACAGGAGTGGTCAGCAGGGTGTTGGAAGCTTCTGGATTTGGCCTGGCCCAGACATGGCCGCCGTGGGCAACTGGGGAGTAAACTAGCCAATGGAACACCGCCTCCCTTTGTCTCTGGCGTTCAAGCTGATAAAAACAGATAATAAACTAAATTTACCTTCAATCATTTCATCATATACTCCCTGTACTTTTAAATGCTGCCTACTTCTATTCTTCAATCCTGAATTGTCTAAGTAGGAATACAACATTTCTTAAGAACTATTTTAAGTTCCAAATCATAAAATACTTGTTAAAAAAAAACTGCAAAAAGGTGCACCCTTTACTTAAGATTTCTTGGCAGTATCTCTACTTCTTTCTTGCTCCATTTTTCCTCATAATGCTGAAATAATGAAGTTACACCCAAACTGTTTTCTCACCTCCATTATTTGGCTGCAAGTTTTTAAATCTATCTCCCGCACCTCCTCAACACATACAAAGAATGAGCATGGAAGGGGGCACGTTAGCGTGCCAGAGATAAGCTGACAAATGTAAACCATGTTCCATCACCTCTGCTGAGCTGACAAAGATCATTTTCATCACAGCTAGCGCTTCTTCTCTGTGTCTATAAAGCTCACACTCTCCTCACTTCCATTTGCTGAATTCCATCAGTCCTGTGTGAGTCACTTAAAAATTCCCACCCAGGTTTCTATAATACTCAAAGGTGAAATACTGCACTCTGAGGGCCGAGACTAAGCAATGGTCTCTATCACTACTTCAACTTAATGCCTTGTAGAGATCCTAGTTAGTGCTCTCCACCCTATGAAATCATAGGAACAAATAACTGGCTTCAGAAACTATGAATTATTATAGATATGTCAGAAGGAGGTTAAGTTATAGGGGGATAAAGTGGGGAACTGGCAGGTCAGCGCTTTAGAAAGGGTTATCTGAGAGAGAAGTACAAGCAACAGCATACCCGAAGCTAGAATGGTAAGATGCAAGTGGAGAGAAGCTAATAAAAATCAAGTGTATTTAAAAAAAAGATGTATTTATCTATATTGAAAGGCAGATATACAGAGAGGAGGAGAGACAGATCTTCTACACACTGGTTCACTTCCCAAGTGGCCACAACACCCAGAGTTGAGTTGATCTGAAGCCAGCAGCCAAGTGTTTCTCTTCTGGGTCTCCCACATGGGTGCAGGGTCCCAAGGCTTTGGGCTGTCCTCCACTGCCTTCTCAGCCCACAGGCAGAGAGCTGGATGGGAAGTGAAGAAGCTGAGACATGAACCAATGCCTATATGGGATCCTAGCGCATGCAAGGCAAGGACTTTAGCCACTAGGCTACCACACCAGGCCCCAAATCGGGAGTATTTGTAAAAACTTAGTTTATCAAGAAATGGTAAGTGCAGCCTGATGAACATGGAGGTGGCATGAAATGAGTTTGGTTCTGGGTAGGTGAGGTGAGGTAAAAATGCTGGCAATGCAAAAAAAAAAAAAAAAAAAAGTGAAAATCTCACGGGTGAAAGAAAAGCCAAGGCATAAGTACCTACGAGCCTTATGAAGGAACCATCACGTAACAGAACAATATAATCTAACACTGGATTCGACAAGCTGGTAACGAAGTGAATGACTTAGTGAACATCTCAAGTGTAGTAGGTGAAGGAGTGAATGAAAGTTGAGGAAGTACAAAGTGTTAAGTAAAAAAAAATCAAGAAATTTCACTGCAGAAGAGCAGGGAAACACTGGATTCATTATGGAGCAGCAGCTATTCTATATGAGGACACTTGGAGTAACTTTCTTTGTGGAAAGGGAGGAGAAAGGGGAGGAGCAGTTGCATACATAGGTAGGGACAGAAACAACATAAGTTGCACAGTAGAGTAGGGATGGAGTCTTTAAGATGGTCACTTGAAGGGAAAAGTCAGTGGGGCTCAAATACAGTGCATATGGAACTTAGGTAAGAGCAATGTGAGCGGTAACGTGGTTATTAGCATAAACGGGACCATGTTTTGGGACAGCAGGATTAATGCAGGCAGTGGTGTACACCATCAGTTCTCTCCCCAGAGCTCAGTCTTGTGAAAAAGAACTTAAGATTACTATCTGTATTCTGTATCTACAATTCCTTATTATTTGGTTCATAATATGTGTACAGGTCTCAACTGAATTTCACCATTCACTTTAAGTATATACAGCTCTGCCTATTACTGCAATTAAAATTGAAATGACTCCTCAGAGCTTAGCATAAGGTAGAAATCAGTAAATAACCAGTTAAAGAATGGACACAATTGCACATTTTAAAATACTGCAGTACGATTCAAGAATACCCTGAGTTTCTCCACCACCTCACATGTAACCCAATGACATCATAAAGACTAAGTTAACCTCTTCGGTCAGATGTTTAGAGCAACATGCAACAGAATGGATACACCCCTCAATTAGGTACTTGTTTTAACAAAACAGATCATTAAAAGTAATGATGCCTGGTTTAATGGCACTCTTTACAAAGGCATGGAAAGGCCAATACCTATCTCAGGTGGAAATACAGATGAAGTTATCTAATTAGTTAATTCAGAACCCTACATATGTGCATTCTACTTAAAGCAAAAGTTCACTCCTAAAAGTATGAAAGTCTCTTTAAATCACAGCAGTTTCCAAAAGACCTCATAGACTTCCAGAAACCTAGATGCATCAGTCTCTGGAATCCGAAGCACTAGCAGATGGCTAGGGCATCTCACCCGCTCCTGGCCGCCTCCTGAGCTGGTCTGCTCACATTCCACTATGCACACACTCCCTACACACAAGTCAACAACTGGTTTGAGGACCAGCACCACCAACAGGACCTGTGGACCATCCAGGACCATCCTTGCCCAACAAGGCAGCAGAACCACACCTGCGAGACAACTCTGGACATTCAACAACTCCAGGAGGTGAGCTGTCATTTTGTTGACTGAAATACCAACAAATCTGGGCACACACATGCCGTGCCAGAGTCCAGCAGAGGTGAAATATAATACCAAATGTGGGTGGAATGTAAATAAAAACACCAATTCCTTTTCTTCAAAGAATACACGCTATCCTTTGGGATGGAGTCGAAGTGGCAGTGAGAAAAAGGGAAAGCTTCCACTCTGAAATACTGTGCTCTCTCCTTGCAGGAAATACGTGGAAACAGTTCCTCTAAGTGAGTTTTACAAAATCTAATGTCTTAGCGTCCTGGAGGGACAGCAGTCCGAGAACGGAAACAGCCAGCCTCCTCCTTGGCCATCCGTGTACCACAGGGCAGGGCAGCAGCTGATGGTGGTGGTGGGTGGAAGGCTATGTTTCAGAGAATGTCTTTACTCTCCAGCGGGACAAAAGGTCCCTACGGGAAGCCATCAAGCAGATGGAAGGTAGAGAGTCAGTGGCCTGGAAAGTCCAGGGCCTGGGGTTCCTGCAGCAGGAGGACAGGCGATGGGCGCAAGGACCCTGCCACAGCTGGTAGGGGACACCATCGGCTCCGATGTTCTGGCTGAGCCCAGAGCCTCCACCAGCCAGCTGGTGTCCTCCCTCCTTCCCAGCCCCGGGCAGGGTGCCCCTTGCCCTCATCCCCAGACGCAGACACAAGCGCACACACACCTGCCCCGCGGCCCGCAGGTGGCACTCGGTCAAGGGCGCCCGGCGGCCGCGCAGGTGAAGCCCAGCTGCTCGGCGGGCTCCCCTGGCGAGAGCTGGGCCCTGGTCCCCTGGCACTCACCCAGATCATGAGGCTGTCGCAGAGCGGCAGCTCGGGCTGCGACAGCGGCTGCGTCTCCTCCATGGCCCCGGCCGCCGTCCACTCCGCCGCGGCCACCGACAGCTCCCTCCTCCCCTCGCTCCTCCGGGAGCCCGAGCCGACGACCTGCTCGCCCGCCCACCACCTCGGCAGCCAGGCCTCACGCAGCCGACGTCGCCGGCGTGACCCCCTCGTCCCCGCCCGGTCCCGGCCCTGCCCGCGCGCCGCGCGCCGCACCTGAGCCCCGCCCGCACACCGCAGCCCTGAGTGACCTGTGCACGCACCAGTCACAAAGAAGGTGGGTCGCCGGGCGGGGCGGGAAGAGCGGGAATAGGTTGAGCAGGAGGGCTTGCTGATTGGACGGGGCCCTCGTGGGCTCCGACCAATCAACGCGAGACAAAGCTGAGCCTCCGGGAAGGAGTGTAGAGGTTTGTGACCTGGCAGGTGCAGAGGGCGGGGGCGGGAGTGCGCGTGCGCCGCGGGCCGAGGGCCGGGGTGGGCCGCACTCCAGAGGGCCAGGGTCGGCTGCATTCCGGGAGGCAGACGGAGCTGGAGGGGCGGAAGGACCCCCGGGCCTCCTCCTCAGACACTGCGTTCCTGCCAGTGTAACACCTGGCTTTGCCTGTTCAGGCTTCCACCGTGTCTTCAAGAAGTAGATCCTAAAAGGTGACTTAAAACACCTCCAAGAAGGAAAAACTGGTTTTCTTCTGGGCGCTGATTGAAAAGGAATGTTTCTGTTTGCATAAAAGGCGGAGAAGTGCCACTTAAGGACAAAAACAGACAAAAACGTGAGAGTTTTCAAAAGATCAGCATTTTGTGGGTACCTTTGTTTTAGATGGGGGCGGGGGCGGAAGCACTTTCCAGGGAATAGACTGAAAAATGCAATGTTGTGAGTTTCAAAAACATGGAACGTGTCAGTATAACTCATTTTCCTTTCATACTTGTCTTTCCTGAGGACATTGGAAGAGGAGTGGTTGGTGTAAAATAGGAAACTCTCCAAGGCTCTCAGATGGCTGGGGTTGCTGAAACGGGTTAGGATATTCTTAGTCTTATCATTGGTTCCTATTACTTCAGTCATTCATAAACTCATCAATTCGGGCTCTGTGTAGAAACACAGCTGGCTTGTTCATTTTGCTGCATTAGTATATTTAGACATTTCAAGTCAAAACTGATGGGTAACTGAAAAGCCCGCCGATGTAATGTCTCGGTCCAAAAATACAGTGCATGAGTTTGTTATTGACTTGCTTCGTATTATCCCCAAACTTTTTTAACGTATGTGGAATTACTTGATATTCTGGACACAGGGGAGGATGACAGTGTGACTTGGTGAAAGCTACAAGATCTAGGAATTGAAGACCTGGCCTGAAACTCATTGGCTATTGACCTTGGCTTTCTCCTGAAGACGCCAGCGTCCACAGCCCTGAAAATCACAGTTCATGTTGCAAATTTTGCAAATGTGAGATGTAATGATCAGATACATGCTTGTGAGCGTAGGAGAGCTGCAGGTGACTGAAATGAGAGAAACTGGAGGGAGCAGATAGGTTAACCCTGGAGTCTGCAAGTGGCAAGCAAATCCTCAAGGAACGATGCTCCTCTTTATGTCAGAGGGTTCAGAAGAAAAACAGTACACATTTCTCAAATATGAAAATGCTAGATACGAAACATTAATTTACTGAACTAAAATAGTAAAACGTTAACATTGGAGAAAGTGAAGAATAATTCCCTTTATGCAACTTCAGTTAGGCAACTGAGAAATGTATTTAAAAAATTAACAGCATCAGTCAGGGAACTCTAAAATATCCATATCACATAGACCTATAATTATATTTCTAATTAGTCCATTGAAATTGACTGAAATACAGGAAAATAATTTAGGTTACAACTCCTATTTCAAATCTACAGGTATTGATAAATATACATCCAAGGAGAAAGAATGTATAGAACTTTATCCATTGGATAACAACTAGTGAAAATAATATTTACAGAATATTTGAAAACTAAGGAAAGTTTCATAATGTACAATATTAAAATTATATAGTTGTCAGCTATATTATTTCAAAATATAAATATCCATGCATTTTAGTCAGTACACAGCAGGAGGACAAAGGTTTCATCAAAATTATGTTTACATATGAATTACAAGTCATTGTCTTCACTAATATCTCATATTTATAATCTTTCAGCTATATTTTTAAAAAGATTTATTTAGTTCTATTGGAAACTTAGGGTTATAGAGAGAGAAGGAGAGAGAGCAATCCTCCATCTGTTAGCTGACTCCTCAAATGGACTCAACAGCCAGAGTTGAGCCAATCCAAAGTCAGCAGCCAGGATCTTCCTGTGGGTCCCTCCATTCAGGAACAGGGCGACAAAGACCTGTCTCAGCTGCTTTCCTGGTCCACAGTCAGGGAGCCGGATCTGAAGTGGAGCAGTCAGGATTCTAACTAGCATAGATGCTGGCGTCACCTGGGGAGGCTCAGCCAAGCAGATACAGCATGCTACTGTGCTGGCTTCAGTTTATATTTTTCCCTCTCTTTTTTATTATTATTTTAATTACATTGCATTATGTGACAATGTTTCATAGGCTGTGGGATTCTCCCAACCCCTCTCCATAGCCTCCCCCCATGGTGGATTCCTCCACCTTGGTGTAGTATTACAGTTTAAATTCAATCAAAATTCTTTCATTGCAAGCATAGAGTCCAGCATCTTATTGTCCAGATAAATTCAGTGGTTTCTTGGGGAAACCATCTCTGGTCTGAAGGTAGAGCTGGCAGAATATCACCCCGTCCATGAAAAACCACAACATAACATCGACAGTAATTTGCAACATTATGGAATTAATTGACATGGTATTGAGTAACAAATATGTTTTTAAAAGTGCAAGTTCTTAGCCACATCCTGTGACTACTTCATTGACATTTCAATTTCAGTTTATACACAGAACCGGGTGCTAAACACCTTAAAATGGCTATAGGGTACTATTCAGCTGTCTCGTGACTATTTTCATTTTAGTATTTAGCAGCTTATAGTGTTGAAGCATACTTTTGCTGAACTTAGCAGATTTTAGGATAGTCTAAACTGGCTTATAACTCTAACTAGGCATATGTCAACAGTTGACATGCAAAACAGTCTTAGGAGGGGTGTACAGAGAAATGTTCAATACCCCAGTGAGAAGTAACTAATCTTTGTCCCTGCTAGTAAGGTATGTGTGAATCCACGCTGACCGATTCCTGCCTGGTTTAAGCTTTCCTTGTTGTTTTGTTGTTCTCTATCTATTCTAATCTGTGTGTGTGTGTGTGTGTGTTTTGGGGTGGGGGGCTCCGGAGCGACCTTGATGGTCATTGCAAGAGAGGGTGGGGATCCAAAGTGGAACTAAGTAAGGACCAGAGAAAGCTCCTCTCCCTAGTCCTGAAGGAAGTTTATTGTTCTGTTTCTGTGGACCGCTCAGGGCTCCTGGCTGTTGTTCCGATGACCTTTGATCCTGCAAGGAAGGATTTGGGCTTCTTTCATTCCATGTGGTAGATCCAAACGGGGGTGGATGACCTCAGAGTTCTTGGCCTCCGAAGGCACTCCAGTTCCCTGTGGTCTCCTTGGCAGTTGGGATGTAATCCTTGGTGCCTATACTGATACTCCTTGGTGAGGATCCAGGAGTCTCTAGGGTTGGGATACAAGCCTCTTCCTGTCCACCTGCTCCACTCTGGGGTTTCCCCCCTACTTTTGCATATGACCTCCTGTTAAGAGGTTGTCAGGATCTCTCTTGATTCCGCCTGTGTGTCTTTGTAGTTTTACTATTGTCTAATGCTGATTGGAGCCTGTTGTCCATAAGTTATCTATTATGTTCCTGATGGGTTATACTTCGCGTCTTCCTCACACATTCTAAGGAGATGGAAAATTTCTCTGCTCTCCCGCCCCATTTCTGAGAAACATAGGGTCTTAAAAGTATATTAGGTTTTACAGTTCTTTGATGTAGATCATAAGCAGTCTGACTCACATTTATTGTTGGTTCATTGCTTACTTCACAATATTTTATTGCATGAGATACAGGCTGTTTGGGGTTGAAATAATATTACAGTTTACAGGTACTGTTTTTTGGATTGACATCATTTCATCTTAAATTAAGGCAAACATGTGGTATCTAACCTTTTGGGATTGGCTCATTTCCTTTAACATAATGATTTCCAGTTGGGCCCATTTGGCCACAAAGAACTGCATTGCATTTTTTTTAATAGCTGAGTAGTATTCCATGGAGTAGAAAACCATAGCTTTCTTATCCAGTCTTCTGTTGATGGGCATTTCAGTTGCTTCCAAGTTTTTGTTCATGTTTTTTTTTAAAGATTCATTTTATTTTTTATTGGAAAGGCAGATATACTTAGAGGAGGGAAGACAGTGAGGAAAATCTTCCTTCTGCTGATTCACTCTCCAAGTGCCCACAATGGCAGGAGCTGAGCTGATCCAAAGCCAGGAGCTTCTTCCTGGTTTTCCACATGGTTTCAGGATCCCAAGGCTTTGGGCCATCCTCAACTGCTCACCCGGGCCACAAGCAGGGAGCTAGGTGGGAAGTGGAGCTGCTGGGACAGCATTCATATGGAATCCCAGTGCATACAAGGTGAGGACTTTAGCCACTAGGCTACCACACCATGCCCCACATATTTTTTTAGTAGTCAAGAAAAAAGATATTAGAGCAAGTACCAAGTACAAAATGGACTGTCATTTTCAGCTGTTCAAGAGGTGCTAGTTTTCAAATGTTGACATGTTTGAGGAACAAAATGGAATTTATTTTTAAACAATGATTTTGACATTGTAAATTGGTACAGTTGTCCTGAAAAAAAATTCCCCAACTTCTGTTTACATTTTCTATGAGACTCAGAATGACAATTTTCCTCATTTAGTTTATTCCACAAATAAACCTGGCTTGCTTTGACCAAAACTGGGCCCAGCTGGTTTGGAATAAGGGGCTCAATCCAGACCTCCCACCTGGGAATCAAGAATCCAACTGCTTGAGCCCTCATCAGCTGCCTCCTGGGTGTGTGGTAGAATCAAGAGAGAGGTCAGTGCTTGAACCCATGTACTCTCTAGTATTGGATGCTGATATGCCAACCAGTATTAACAACTATGCCAATAAATTAGCACCCCTAAAAAGTTTTTTCAAGAACCT